GATCAATTCATGGTTGTTTGCTCAAAATCAACTTCCCCAATTTTCGCGGAGGCATCAATACGACAGTCATCGTCTCATCGGTCGCTGTTCAGAAAGAAGTCAGGAGAAAACCATCAGAAACCTTAGTTCAAATATTGTTTTTATATGTTGGTGTAACAATAAAGAATTCTCAAGCGGCCAATCGGTGTTTTGGTTTTTTCGTCCGTTATAACTAAGCGTCTCTGAAATCTTCGAAGAACAGCGTGGGCCCGAGCGTAGCAAGAGCTGGACATTAACGGTTTATGAGACGTGACTGACAAGCCTCGTCTCAACAGTTCAGTGATACCAGCATCGCAGAGGTATTGCTTCGTGGAAAATAGAGAAAATTACTTATTTGCTGATGGATTCCGTTAGGAGGACTCATACGAATTCCATTTTAGGGTTTTCGGGCCACCTCAAAAACAAGATAAGGGCTATAGATGGATCTTAAAAGGATCCCATTTATAGCCATTAAGTTGAATACATGTACATGATGTGACTTCTCCATTGACAGTCGCATGCTAAACTGGAGATGTTTCTCTCACATGTTCGAGAAAGATACCGCTTGTAACCGTTTTATCCTATTTTATGCTTTTTTCTATAAATATACGTTTCCACTTACCATAAATGCCTATTTAATGTGATTGGTCCGTTCAAGGTTGTTTGCTGATCGGTTATTAGTGGTGTCGAAAGTTTAACTTTGCCCTGTAATTTTTAACATTAACATTACTTTGTTTCTGTTACGGGTTTTGTTGCCGTTTCCCTGTCCGCCTATAGTGACAATGAGCTAAATACTAAGGGCAAAATTGTAATTTTCATCTATAATCAGGCTGATGAGTCCTCTTTTTCTCATACCTTTTATGTACAAGCTCCTTATTTTATTCAGCTATCCTGTAATCGACGAACCAACACAAGTTTATCAGAATTTCTGGTAGCGGTTGGACTGAAAAGAATGGCCATCCTTCTTGAATTCCTGTTGCTCTTATGTCACACAGCTGCAAAGGCATTGTTATGGGGCTGTCAACCTGAATAGTCTTCAGCTGTGCCAAATATTCCCGGACTTGTAGAAATCCCTAAGACCCTAGTTGTGACCCAGCGTGGGCGCATCTGAAATCATTGCTTCAGTAATTCTGTTCACTAGTTTCCAGTTTTCCCCATCTAACAGCGGTGCTTAATAATGAGGCCATACAGAACCTGTGCCATCTCAAGGCAGCTTGATGTGATGTGTCCTCTCAGACACACTATTACATGTCACGCTTATATTTTTCTGATTCAAATTTCCCTACTACCTACCGTGTCACCATGACGTTTATTCGAACATTGTTATTAAAGACTGATGTAAACGTACGCACAGCGTATAACAAGACAGGGTGGTAATTTTGTGTAAATTTCTGGTCCATTCTCGACCAATCTCACACAGTCTTGTATATTATTTTGATGAACATTCATAAACAGACATTACTGCACAAAAATTTCAGAGTGAAGATGTGCCCTGTTATGTGTGCCTTTGATAATTTAATTTTGAATATTTCCCTGAATTTAAAACCAGTTTTTCGGTCGAAACTTCGCAATGATTTACTTCACTTTGTCTTTACCTTCTCACCTGTAACATAAACAAATGGCAGGGTTGTTTCTACTCGGCCAGTCCGTCTTTAGAGTTGCGATAATATGAAGCATTACTTTTCTGTTTAATCAGGTTCTCATATTCAAGAAGCCTTTTATTCGGTTGGCTGCATAACTGACAATACGTACCATACGAAACGCTACTTCTGTGATCGTATTTCCCAACAGATCACACCAACAGAGATCAAATAAACACTTCCCTTGTTAGCCATATCTCGTAAACCGTCAATGCCCAGCTCTTGCTGCACTCAGGCTCACGCTGTTCCTTGGAGTTTCTCAGAAACGCTTAGTAATAACGGACGAAAAACCAAAACACCAGTTGGCGACTCGAGGATTCTTTATTGTGACACCAACATATAAACACTGTTATAACTAAGGTCTGTGAACAAATATTACAATAATAAATCACAATATTACTTCTGACGGTGTTTTACTCTTCTTTCTGAACAGCGACCTATGAGACGATGACTGGTGTATTGATGCCTTCGCGAAAATTGGGGAAGTTGGGTTTGAGCAAACAACCATGAACTGATCGTTCAATCTTCAACTAAATTGACATCACTGTCAAAGTTAATTAATAAATTTTGCCAAAATGGTCGAATTACTCGTAGTTACTTGTCCCAGTTAATAACAAATACGTTGTGGTCATGCTACTTATCATTATCATTGTCTTTATTATAGCGATAATGACTTTGAATGCAACTACCGTTGTTGTTGTTAGTATTACTGTAATAAGGCCGTTATTATTTTTGCGGATATTCCTGTTCTGGCTCTGGAAATCACTGCACTGCTCATAAATAGATACTTTAATCCTTCCGCGACACTTCTGTAGCTTTTCTAGTCGCCGACTACCTAGATGAATTGTGAAGTCCCACAAATTTAGTGAACTATTTAACCACTTAAATAAATCCTCTGTAGGGTATTTACTTGTAAATTCTAATCAAGCAATCAGCTGAAAATTTTTTACGGTTTATTCAAATCATGCACTGCTGATACTAATGATATTTTCCTGAACCCATATGGAAAATTTCACGGGAACTTTTGTGTACTATGCATACAGATTAAAAGTTCTGAAAATGGCAAAGGATTGCTTATCGGGATTATCCGTACAACTAAAATCTAATCTTTGTGTGGCAAGCACATTTTGTAATGATTCTGCTTTTTCTGTCATAATGTGATTGTGTTACCGTAAAATTAGTAACATTTTCTTGGGTGGAAATTAAGCGTTGAATTGAGAAAAAAGGAGCGAAAGAGAAAAAATGTGGAAATCAAGGGAAAATTATTGGGAAATAATGCGACATCCAGAAAAAATTTCTTGATAGGACTGGATGAATGAACAGCAACGTATTGTGTCTTGTGGATGCGGATCGTATGCACTTACTTTTGAATTAGTTTTATTACGGAAGCTTTACTGCATTCACTTTCTGGATGGGTCACTCTATGAATTCAGTCATTTCTTCTTTGTACCCAACGACAAACACAGATATCAGAAACACACTTGGTAGATTTATTCCTGCTTTGTGAGTGATTGAGAATGGTGAGTCAGTCTAGGTGTCTTCGTAATATGATGTTTTCGCGTATTTTCCAATTGCTGAAGGGGATAGACTCGAGGTCACACACCAAACATCAAACTCAATATGGTGGGGGGAGTGTGCGTCACCAAGCGCATTCAGCTTAATAAGTGTGAAAAAACAGTGAGGGTGTATATATATAATGCGTCACCATGGCTGTGGATTTAATATTTTAATGAAACTGTTCACTGCCATATTTTTACACAATATAAGAAGTATTATTCCAGAGAATATCATTTGAGTACTTTGGTAACTCGTTCTGATAATTTTTGACAGATTTTGATGTTAGCTGCTACACTCACTATTATCTACCAGTAAACCTATCCAACTAGACTGATTTTGGCGTAAGAACACAGGAGAGTGATTTATACTCATGGAAATCGACCTCAAAGAAGATAATGACACATTACCATGTACACTCTCATGTAGTAGGTGCGTAGCCGCGGGAAACAAATGGGTTCGTCACTCTTCACTGTTGTAATGGAACATAAACCACTATAATGCCACTAAACAAGTTTCTTTTCTTCTTTTTCAGAAAGAAACACTGACGTGGTCTTACTGGAACAAGAGGAAGACGGTTTATCTAGACTTGTTATAAACGATGATAATTAGCTCTTACTCCGGTTAATTCAGGCCTGGGTTGGTTCAAATAAACGCCTCTTCCTCGCCTTCTTTGTCTTCTTCCTTCGTCAGTGTTGGCTGTTGTCTTTGTTCAACAATAGAGTCCAAAGGGATGCGAACGCACAATGACCTTGAGCCGACCAATCAGAAAATAGGAGGATTTTTGCATAAAATTTCACGTATATTTACACAAAAAGCATGAAAAAAGCATTATACAGGATATTTCTATCTAATATGAGATGAAAAGTCACCCAGTTATATTGAGGAGTATCAGTTTTTAAATTAAACCAATTTCTATACCTATATTCCTCTAGATGACTAAAAATGACTTCCTTTTGAGAGCCGTTTATAGCTCTGATTCTATTTTTTAGTCTTCCCCAGAAACCTTCGATTGAATTGGTATGGGTACCGGTTCTAGGGTCCACGAAGTCATCTGAATGGTTTACTCGATGGTGTATATATCCCAAATCCGATAATTGGTTATATCCTGCACATTCATCCGTATGAATGGTTGTGCCTGGCAACACCAGTCTTTGAATAATAGGTAGAAGTATATCCGCACTCCTATCCGGAATGAGTTCGATGAAACCTTTGCGAATCTGCATGTCGTAAATACCAAGAACCCAAACGTTATTGGCCATAGCACATCCCCGGTTATACTTCCTTTTCATAAGCACAGTTTCGTCGATATGAACAACGACACCCACTCCGCCTAGCACTTGCGTGATGGTATTTATTTTCCACGACGCTAAATCTCTGCAAAACTGGAACCATTGCACAGTAGACGGTAAGGTATTGTCTGTCTGGGCTGCGGTTGATCTCACTCCGGTCTTCAAAATCCAGTAATGACATAGGAACAGGATATTCGTCAACGAAAGTTTCGAGTTTTCAAAGAAAGTTCCTAAAAGATAATCAACTGACAGTGTTACTTACCAGTGGGAACACTTGTTCGCTTCCTACACTGTGTACACCTGAATATATATCCATCAATGGCCTGGGTATACGGCTGCAGTTTCATAGAAGCACCGCAACTACAAATCCGAGCATATCCTATTAACCCATTGTCTAAACAGTACTGAAAAACATGCTGTGGCTAAAATTTGCATCTGACCAGATGCACAGGCGTCATTTTCGCGCTAGAATAATGGGGAGGTTCCTCAACCAATGACTAGCATGCGTTCAAGGTCATTGAACGTTGAAGGTTTTGGGGCGCTATTCTTAAACTTCGCCTTTGTGTCGGGGGTGTTTGGTCTACGCAAAAACATGGCATATCAACCTGAAGTTGTTCTTCCCGAGTTGTTCCCGGAGAAGAGTGTCTCAACATTGCCAAGTGTACCGCCGCTTCCCCGCCCACCCATGCTGCAACTATCATCAGATTACCCACGTTGGAAGAAACGGATGCAGGCGTTCCTCGACCTTGCTCCAGTGAGCCACCACTTCATCCACGTCCTCAGCAGCCTATCCGAGGACGCCTTTGCTCGCGCAAACGCCGCCGGGTTCAGCAACACCAATTCTATGCTGACTAACTGGGAGATCCTCGATCAATGCTTTGACCTAAGGCAGAGCTCGCAACATACCATGCTCAAATTCTTCTCCCGTCGGCAACTACCAGGAGAGAGTTTCCTGGATTATCTCCACGCTCTCCAGCTACTGGCAGCTGAAATTGACTGTCACAAGGACCTCGCCAGCGGAGACCAGGCAGTGTGCACACGCTTTATCGATGGATTGATGCCCGGGGGACTGCGCACACACCTTCGACGTCAGCTTCCAATCAGCACAGCCGAGTTACGGAGGATTATTCTTCGTTTCATGGACACGGAGAACGACTACGCGTCTACACCAAGCAGCTCCATATGCCAATTGCCAGCAGCATCCACTGCAGCCGCAGTGACCCCCATTCGCCAAGACCGTTCAAGAAGCCAACAGCGCCTAAATGGGGACGTTCCGCGTCGCTGTTACTATTGTCAACGCTTCGGGAAGAAGGCCCGCAAGTGTGGGCACAACCGCCAGCCGGACCGCAGTAAGTCCCCTGTTTTTAATTTGTCTACATACTCTTGTACACGGCAACCTTTGATGTTATGGGGACATATTAATGGAGTGGTCTCTGAAGTACTCTTAGATGCTGATGCGTCGGTTTCTCTCTTAAAGGCTTCCTTTCTTCGACGCTTTCCCCAGTACTCACCCCCAGTAACCACTCATAATATCTTGACGACGGCTAACGGTGCTAAACTGGAAGCTCGATATGCTACATATCTACAGCTGCGCCTTGGAGACCTAAATGTGCTCCATCAGTTTCATATCTGTGCCCAGATAACATGGGATCTCATCCTAGGAGTAGATTTCCTGACGTCCCACCAAAATCTTATAGATATCGCCAATTCTCGAGTCACAATTGATTCTGTCACTGTATCCTTATATAGCCCTCAGCAACCGACTTCTTCTGAGTCAAGGTTATCAGTGTCTACCATCTTTAATCAAATTTCGGTTGATCCATCCGCCCCTGCTCCCCTCCGAGGGCGAATGCTAGAATTAATTGATGAATACGCTGTGTTTGATGATGGGGGTGGTCCGGGACGAACTGGCGTTGTTCAGCACCGTATAGATACAGGCAGCCATCCGCCTGTGCTTCAACCACCCCAACGGATCCCCGTGCATTACCAGCCTCAGCTGGACGCCCTGATACAAAATATGTTGAATGCCACATTGGTTAGAACTCCAGTCGACCATGGACATGGTCCGAGGTTCGATCCTCTGCCGACGCACACCTGATATGTATGGTCGGCCTGCAAAATTCGGGCTACCGATATCACATACTTGTACCAAAAATACTGTGGAATCAAGCTGTAATCAAAAATAAAAATGAATAAAAAAGATTATTGTACCTTCATCCTCTCCATGGACGTCACCCATCGTCTTAGTCAAGAAGAAAGACTGCTCCCTTCGAATGTGTATTGACTATCGTAAACTGAATGCCGTAATCAGACGGGACGCTTTCCCGATCCCACGTATCGATGCAACGCTTGAAGCACTGGCTGGCTCAGTGGTTCTCCACGCTAGATCTGGCATCAGGCTACTGGCAAGTAGAGGTATACCCCGACGATTTTCCGAGGACTGCCTTTATCCTTCCGAGTGGTCTCTACGAATTTCGAACAATCCCCTTCGGACTATGTAATACCCCCGCCATATTTCAACGCTTGATGCAGATAGTCCTTGACAGGTTAGTTCCGCATAAGTGTCTCATCTATCTGGACGACATTATTGTACATGAGAGGTCCCCAGAGGATTACATGGGTAACCTACGGATTGTTCTTACAAGGTTTAGAGCGAATGACTTAAAGTTGAAACCGTCTAAATGTTCATTCTTACAGAGGACAGTCACATTTTTGGGCCGCCTAACTTCACCATATGGTATCCAAACAGACCCAGAAAAAACGCGCCTCATCTCCGAATGGCCTACACCGCAGTCCTGTAAAGACGTCCGTAGCTTCTTAGGGTTGGCTTCGTACTACCGACGTTTCGTTCCCGGGTTTGCCACCCCAGCCTCGCCTCTGCATCGCCTGACAGAAAAGGGCCGTAAATTTCTATGGACCAACGAATGCCAACATGCATTCGACGAGCTTAATAAGAACTTGACGTCAACTCCCATCCTTTCGTTTCCAAACACGTCTCCGTCATCTGGTTCTTTTATTCTAGACACGGATGCAACCGCTAACGCTATAGGGGCTGTCCTCTCCCAAGTGGCAACCGATGGTCGAGAACGCGTTATCGCATATGCCAGTCGCAAGCTAGATAAACAAGAAACACGGTATTCGATGACCAGAAGGGAGATGCTTGCCCTTGTGTATTTCCTAAGACACTTTAGACCTCATTTACTTGGGCGCCCCTTTCGAGTACGCACTGACCATCGTGCCTTACAATGGCTTCAAACATTCCATGAACCAGAAGATCAGGTGGCTCGCTGTCAAGAACGGTTACAGGAGTTCGAGTTTACCTGTGAATATCGTCCCGGGTCCCGACATGCTAACGCTGATGCCCCCTCCCGATTACCGACGTACATTTCCTCAGTGAATGCCATACTTAATACGGGTATAGACGTGGACTGGGCCACACTACAGGCGGCTGACACAGATATTCAACCCGTTTACTCGCGACAGCTCCATGGAAACGATAAACCATCGAATAAGGAACTACTGAGTTTGTCAGGTACAACACGATGCATCTGTGGCGAGTGGGACGTGTTACGACTGATTGACGATGTTTTGTATATAGTGGAACCATCCTCGTCACCCCGTCTTCTTGTTCCGGAGGTGATTCACCTTGTGCACCACCAGCTTGATCACGCTAGCCAACAAAAAACCGAACACGCCGTCCGTCAACGTTTTTGGTGGCCACTTCTTCATCACGATGTGACTGAATTCTGCCGCAACTGTGCTACATGTGCACAGGTAAGTCACTCATTATACCGATATTCAAGAAGGGAAACAAGTCCTCGTGTGATAATCATAGGGGGATCAGCCTAACGAACATAGTCTCTAAAATCCTAGGCTCAGTAATCATGCATAGACTAAGCAGAACTCGGGAGGAACAGACAAGGGAAAATCAAGCAGGCTTTAGACCAGGTAGAGGGTGCATAGATCATATCTTCACTCTTCGACAGATTCTAGAACATAGACACACTTTTCGGCGTCCAACAATTGTCATATTTCTTGACTTGAAGGCGGCCTTCGACTCCGTGGACCGAAAAGTACTATGGCAATGTCTGACTGTGAAGGGAGTGCCAAGAAAGTACATTGCACTAATCAAGGCACTCTATTCAAACTCACGTAGTCGTGTAAGGGCTTATGGGGAATTGTCATCTGAATTGGTAACAACCAGTGGTGTCCGACAGGGATGTCCACTTTCCCCATTTCTGTTTAACTTCATCATAGATATGCTAATGGAAGTATCCTTAACTGAACGTAGTGACTTAGGAATCGACTTGTTACCAGGGAATAATCTTATGGACTTAGAATATGCAGATGACATAGTCCTGTTAGGGGAGGATGCTGACAAAATGCAGAGTCTTCTGAACACCTTGAGCAGCAATCTTCGTATGTTTGGCATGCGATTCGCCCCTGCAAAATGTAAGATGCTGCTACAGGACTGGACGACGTCAACCCCTAACTTAGTGATAGGGAGTGAAGTGATAGAACATGTTGACCACTTCACCTACTTGGGAAGTTGTATTAGCACCAACGGACTGATTGGCGATGAAATCTCAGCACGGATCCGAAAAGCTCGAGCTGCTTTCGCTGACTTACACCATCTCTGGCGTAGGCGTGACATCCGGTTATCAACCAAGGGACGTGTGTACTGCTCATCAGTTCGCTCCGTCCTTCTCTATGGCTCTGAAACATGGCCAATACGCGTTGAAGACATGAAAAGGTTGACTGCTTTCGATCATAGATGTCTGCGATCTCTGTCTCACGTTAGGTGGTTTCACAAGATAAGTAATGTTGACGTTAGGCGTAGAGTGTTGGGCAAAGAGGGAAAATCAATCGACGAGGTTATAAAGTTACATAGACTAAGATGGCTAGGTCACGTGCTGCGCATGCCTAACCACCGCCTCCCCCGACGGGCATTGTTAGCTGATATAGGTTCAGGTTGGAAAAGAGCCAGTGGTGGCCAAACAAAAACATGGCATCAATCCATGAAATCCTTGACAGTTAAACTGAGTCAGGTAGGGAGATGCAGACTCCCGGGTTGGGGCCCTCGGGACTCTAGGAATCAATGGCTGGAGACAATAGGTGACATGGCTCAAAATCGTTGTCAATGGCGCAGATGTATTCAGTCTCTGTAATCTTTCATATTCCTTTCTACCATTACCCATTCTGTTTCACTCTTATACTTGTCAAACTCTATTGATTCTCTTCACTCATCTTCTTGTCTACCTCTGTGTGCTATTTGGAACGTGGCAACTCGAACTGCTGCACTTCGGTGCCAAGTTCTATGTTGAATCCAGACAGACAGACATGTGCACAGATTAAACAGTCCAAACCACCTTCCTGAGCACCGTTAGTATCTATGCTTACTGAAACTCCTAATCACCTAGTTGGGGTAGATGTTATGGGGCCAATAACAACGTCGAGACGCGGTAATCGATACATACTCGTCATGGTCGATTACTTCTGATATGTATCCACATATATATTTATGTGTGTGTGTGCATGTTGGTCTCTCTTTCTGTTTGCTCGGTTAGTCTGTGACCACTTCACTTGTATGGACTTGTCTCCTTTAATAATGTGTATTCTCCTTATATTATATTATATATAATATGAGTGTTTGTTGACAGTCCGTTGCTTGGTGACATATATCCATATATGTTTGTTGGCATGTCTGCTATATTCGCTATGTATAATTGGATCGACACTCCATTATAATTAGCCATTCATGTTAAGACTGTCTAATGATTTTCCCACGCTTGTCTGAATTATTTATATATATTCGCATTCACAATTTGTGTGAACTACTTTACTTTACAACTGCTTTACTTACTTACCACTTTGGTGTGAGACCATTTATTTTCGTCTCCTTGTGTTTGGACTATAGAAGTATCATCGCAAACCTAGTGGTCTTCTGATTTCCGCCTTCTCGCGTCAGGACTATTAGTTTCTCGACCAGTCCATAACAATAATTTATCGACTAGTACATAACAACTTCACAAAGTGGTGCGAAGCCGTCTTCTTGCAACAATAAGATGCCTTGACGATTGGCCGCGCGTTCATAGACAGTTGGGTGTCCCGCTTTGGTGCTCCTCTTTGTCTACACTCTAACCAGGGCGCTGCATTCGAGAGTCATCTCGCTCACATATGGTATCCGGAAGACCCATACTGCGCCATACCACCCACAGGATAATGGACTCGTCAAACGCACCAACAGAACTATTAAGAATCTCATCGTGCCTTCTTGTACAACGCACCAGAGAACACCTGGGACGATGTCCTACCTCAGTGTTTGCTAGCGTATCGCTCTTCCGTGCATTCATCCACGGGTTTTACCCCAGCTTTGCTTTTGTTCAGGCACGAAGTCCGCCTCCCGGTTGAGATCCAAACACCGCTGCTACCATATGAGAAAATAGACTGCATGCCTTATGTCCGACATCTTCGCCACCACCTGGAGATAGCCTACAGCCTGGCGCGTCGTCATCTGCAGTCTTCGTCAGAACACCAGAAGAGTATTTATGACCGATTTGCCCCTAAACACCTTGAGCCGCAATCTACGAATGTTTGGCATGCGATTCGCTCCCGCCAAATGCAAGATGATGTTACAGGACTGGACCACATCGACGCCTAGTTTAAAAATAGGAAGTGAAGTGGTAGAGCACGTTGACCGCTTCACTTATTTGGGAAGTACCATCAGCCCCAACGGGCTTTTCTCTGACGAAATCTCAGCACGAATACAGGGGGCTCATTTCGCATTTGCCAGTTTACGCCGACTCTGGCGTAGACGAGATGTTCGACTATCGACCAAAGGGCGGGTGTACTGCTCATCAGTTCGCTCCGTCCTCCTCTATGGTTGTGAGACCTGGCCACTGAGAGTGGAAGACATGAAAAGACTAGCTGTCTTTGATCATAGGTGCCTGCGCTCTATTTCCCATGTAAAGTGGCATAATAAGGTGAGCAACATGGAGGTTAGGCGTCGAGTGCTAGGTAAACAGGGGAAATCAATCGACGAAGTTGTGAAGTTACATCGACTGAGAGGGATGGTTAGGACATGTGTTACGTATGCCAAGCCATCGCCTCCCTCGACGAGCAATGTTAGCGGATATAGGGTCAGGCTGGAAAAAAGCTAGCGGCGGTCAAACAAAAACTTGGCATCAGTCAATGAAATCCACAACAGTTAGTCTAAGCCACGTAGAAAGGTGTAGACTTCCAGGCTGGGGTCCTCGGGACGGTAAAAATCTATGGTTGGAAACAATTGGTGACATGGCTCAAAACCGTTCTCAGTGGCGCAGATGCATCCACTCCCTGTGACTTATGATTTCCAATGAAACTGTTTTGTATTTCTTTATTACTCCTTTGTATCACACCTCTGCTCACTGTTTCTATTATGCTTTTCTTGTACTTTCTTCTCTTGCTTCGCGTGCTATACGGAATGTGGCGACTTGAACTTCCGCACATTTGTGCAAAGTTCTATGTCGAAAACAGACAGACAGATTCGCCTGCGGCCCCACTTATTTGCCTGGTGACTTTGTCTGGCTCCATTGACCATCGGGCCCTGCCGGTTCGTGTCCTAAATTCTACGCCCCGTGGCAAGGACGTTACGAGATCATACAACACCGACCTCCCACAACGTATGTCCCGCGAAATTTGCGACGCCCTCAAGATAAGCTTATCTCAGCGCATTATAATCAGCTGAAACCGCATCACCCAGCAGCCGTCAAGTAACCGTCGCCACCCTCGCAACTGCCGCCCGCTACAAGCCACGTCGAGGTACCAAACGATGGAGGCAGTGCATATCCCATACCACCGCCAGGTACTGAGGACAGTGCCTCCAGAAGGGAGGAGGCGATGTAATGGAATAAAAACCACTATAATGCCACTAAACAAGTTTCTTTTCTTCTTTTTCAGAAAGAAACACTGACGTGGTCTTACTGGAACAAGAGGAAGACGGTTTATCTAGACTTGTTATAAACGATGATAATTAGCTCTTACTCCGGTTAATTCAGGCCTGGGTTGGTTCAAATAAACGCCTCTTCCTCGCCTTCTTTGTCTTCTTCCCTCGTCAGTTGTGGCTGTGGTCCGCGTGTGTTACACTTTACTGGGGACTGATTTCTTGTTTGATTAGTCGTCGTAATTGTGTGATGGTCCTTGCTACCTTTATATTTAGCCTTAGTGATAGGTGATCTCAAGCGCATAATGTCAAGTTCATAGAGCAACGGCCAAAATAACTCACTTCACAACTACAGCTGAATTCAACTGTAGTACTTCATCTCTCATTTGAGGAGTCACGAGTGGTCGTGCAGAAAATATGACATGTAGTTTACCAGTATTAGAAGTTCTTTAAGTGGATCGTCTTGACTTACTCTTGGACTGCGCAGTCGTATAAGAAGTATTGCAGTGACATTGTACTAGTTTTTAAATACAAAAGTCTCTCAATTATAAAAACTGATTTCTTTCTGTAAACTATTTAATTGTGCCGGCGTAGGACACAGGTGATGATAATAAGTAGCAGTCTTTTCGTTCTGAAGTAATACTAGTCAGTGCTGAATATGAGCTACGAAGACTTGAATTAGGCTGAAAAAATTGACACTATGTGCTGAATTTAGTCTTTTCGTTCTGAAGTAATACTAGTCAGTGCTGAAAATGATCTGAAATGGCTGAAGTAAAGCTGATCGGTTAACCGAGTAGGTTCTGAACTACTCCTGAAAATGCCTAAAAAAAGGACACGGTGCTGAATTAGTGCTAGTTATGCTGAAAGCCAGCACTGAGTTGTAGTCTGTGCCACTAAACAATCCATTTCAAAACAGATTCAGAATTTACTCACTATAGGATGCTAGAATTATTTCAGTATTACTGAGATTTAATTCAGAATTATAGTAAGCTAGGGATATTGACAGATAGAGAGTTCTTTTTATCCTTTCCTGGTCATGGGTATCTTGATGAACATTTTTGGATAGCTATTTCAACTTCCGGCATCATGTACAATCCTAAGTTCATCTTGAATTAAGTACTCTGACCCTGTAGCTGAGGGTCCTTACTAAACTTGTCTTCTACTGGAGAGGAAGAAAGCTATGGAAAGTTGTGTATTCTTCTGTCCATGTACTTTTTCTATGCAAATTTCTGTCTATGCTTTCATTTGGTTTTCTTGTATAAGGAAGTTTAGGAAAACGATTCTATTTTGGGATTCCTCTTCACATGTGAATTTGACAGTTGAACGTACTTCATTGGACTGAGTTACTATTGCGTTCCTGTTCGAATCATTTTCACAAAAAATAAAGGTATAGTCCATATACCGGCAATAAAATGCGAATATTTTGATAAGGTTGTTCAGAGGCCCATTTTCTAATTTGCTTAGAAATCTGCCAAAGTGGGACCCATTGGGGAGCCTGTTGCCATCCCGTCAACTTGTCTGTAAAGTGTGCGATCAAATTTAAAGTCTACATTCAAGGTACACCTTAATATCAATCCTTTTAGGATTTCCGTTGGGGTGCCAGTATGTATCGACTTGTTATATACTTGTTCATGTATGTAGTTAACTTCTCATTACATGCCAGACATCGTCGAAGCATTTGCACAAGAAGCCGACATGTCAACCTGTGGCCTAGCACTTCGGTCCAAGTGAATTAAATATGTAGTCAACCGTTTCTACTAGAAGTACATTTGTGAATAAAGGTGTTATGTCCAAAGATAGAGTTTTATGCTTGATGTTAATATCTTTGATTTTGCCTACTAATTCAAATACATCTTTGATGGTACGTTTCACTATTTGTTCATGCAAAGGTTTGATAATATTTGCAAACCACTTTGGCAAAACATGGTAGGGCGAACTTCGCACATCAGGTTTTGGCCTCAAGAGTACTCCCGGTTTATGTATTTTGGGTAGACCGTATAATCCTGGCTTGTATGTGTCCGTCTGTTTGAGTTCTTCATATAATCTTTCGGAAAATATCTGTTCCTCTATCAAGTTTTTTCAAACGTCTGATTAATTCGCTCCATATTTTGTTATTGTGAATTGACATGATCATTCATGCATCTAAACTTTATGGTCAATATAGATAGAATTTAATATGAACATCACTCATAATGATTTATTGCTATACATTCGTTGTCATTTATAATCATTTAATTTGTAATGTTGGTGTTCTGTTTAGTACTACAATTATACGTATTGCCACATACATATATTTTGGACTCTTATCAATGAACAGTGTATTTGCAAATAACTTATGGAATTCTGATGTCAATAATTTTATGTTACTCTTTAAAAACCTCTGTCAATGATAATCATTCTTTCGTTGTTATGGATATTTGACTGTAGAACCTAGTGATGAAGTTATCGAAAAGAATATTCTTTTCCCAGTAATCAATATTTTGACTATGTTTTCGCAAATTAGGTGTAGTTTTCTTGTGCTTCAGATTATTTGTTCTATTTAGTTGTGCACCTTTCTGATACGAAAACTTTTTCTTTCTAGGCGCAATGAACACTAGATACTAAGCTTTTGAGTCCATTCATAACGTTGCATAGAAATTCAAAATCGATGCCAACAAGAAAGATATGAAGGATTCTGTAGATAAGAAGATTACAACAGCACTCAGAGCTTTTGAAATATAAAATGATCGATAACCATTCGTACAATGAAACCTAAGGGTCTCGCCTGTCATATATGCATGGCCTACATAGGATACTTAAACAGAATTGTCGACCAGTTCCTATACTATTAATGGTGGGTCCACCCTTTCACAAAGTAGCTCGTTATTTAGCCGAAAAGTTTGGACATATTTGCCAACAGCTGGCTAAACATAATATGAAGGACTCGTTCCGATTCCCTGAGAAGGCGAGCCAACTAAATGCGTGATAAATTTATGATCTTCGATGTCACCTCCCAGTTCACACAAATTCGTTCTCATGAAACTTTGAACATGTCAGCACGCTGATCTCCTTACATTAACAAAACCTGAATTTAGGCAACTCTTATCATATACTAACAACATACAGTTCCAATTCCATGACAAAATGTATTGCTGAACAGATGGAATGGCAATGGCTAAACCACTGGATCCTGTATTAGTAGATATTTTTATAGCTAATCTTGAACAAACAAAGCTTAAGTGTGCAATTGATGGGATGACAGCCTACTGCAGATACCTAGATGATACATTCCTTTCATAGAATGTTCTGAGTCATGCTTCTTATCTTCTTGGGATATTCAGGAGTGCACATATAAGCATCACTTTCACAGTGGAACAGGAACATGTTGGGAGATTCAACTTCCTGTATACGGGCTTGGAGGGAAGAAAAGATAGTACACTCGGAATATTTATTTATCTCCCGGACGCAGAGTGGTTTCTACCTAAATTTCAAAAGCTTCTGCCCAATCGTATATAGGCGAATACTGATAAAGACGCTGTTTTGTAGAGCAAAATGAATGTGTTCATCAGGTAAGCTAGATAATTAGCTTACGTTACTTGAGAAATGCCTGAAAGAGAACGCCTACTCACAAAGTTTCATCAGAGAATATGGCAGGAAAGAATGTAAGCAACAGGTTTAATTATAGTGAACAAAAAGCCAATCTTCATTCAACTTGATTTCAAAGGGGGTGATATTATGAGGGCGATAAATAAACGTTTAAGTACAGCACTGAACCAGGACGTAATCCTGAAGTAAAACTAGTCCCTTTACTCCGGACATCTTGCTCGTTGGTACAGTCAAAAATCGACAGACATTCTTCATATGTTACCTCAAATTGTACATATCAATTCACGTGTTACTGCGGGAGCCGTTACATTGTGAAAACCTCAAAAGGGTCTATATCAGATTAGTTAATCATGTACCGAAGAACCTTCGGTTAAAATAACCGAATAGTTTAAATGCAAGACATCGAATAGACACACTGAGAGCATTCAAAATAATTTATAGATAAAATAGCCCATCTTCTTTGGTTTGTTGTGGTTATCCCAGTAAAACGGCTGAAACCTAACCTATGTGTTCAAAGAGAATCTGTCGTGGGACTACAGTTACCCTGGTAACTCTGCTTGTTTTCTGACTTCGTCGCTTTGACTTTCCCCACTTTTTGCTTGACTTTCATATTGGACTTAATATTTTGATCCTTTGGATTTTACTCACTGTGTTAAACCATCCTTTCATTCTATTTCTTAAGCACCCAATTTCGATTTTCCAGTTTCATGAATTTTTAATCACTGCATTTAATTGTCTTTGAGCAATTATCACTGAGTTATCTCCAACAAATTTATTTATTTATGAATATAAGCATCACGTTTTTGACAGTGAATTTGTTGTTGTGTTTTCTTGTTAACCTTTCCTGGTCTGACGTGTGAATTCAGTTAGGTTGAAGGATAAGGCGAACACTATAGTCTCTTCCATAATTTTTGTTTAGCTGTCATCAGTATATATCGTTGGACTATGAAAATGGGGGTGACGATGAATTAGCAGTCAAAGAGGCTTGTGTGTACCGTTAAAGTTTTAATTTCACTAAAATGTGAATTGCGAAATTTATTGAAATTCTGCATGTGTATTTTATACAAATAGATGTATCATTGTGATATTAAACTTGGCTTATTATTTCCCCTTCCCTTGATTGTTGTTCACGTGTTAGTGAATTAAGAAATATGGACATGCCGCTGTTGATTGTTACAACGAACTATTGTAAATCCAGGTGCGTCCGTAGTTTGGAATTAGAACGCTCGCCAACCACTCGTGTGGTCCGGGGTTCGATTCACCGCCAACCCACTCCTAAGCCGGTAAAGAGGGAAGTCTGGGCTTGACGCTGGTAACCCCACCCTGTAAAAATAAAGCCATTGCTAGAGAAACTTCAAAGTTCTAGCTTGAAGCCCTATGTCCCACTCGGAACGTAAAGGGATAGAAAAACATTGTGAACTCAGTGTCTATAAGAGTACACAACCTAATTCCTGCAGTTGTGTGATAAAATCAGTTCACTGAGTCAAGAACAGCAGTTATGATTGATGATCTTGCCTGCCAGCAATGTAGAGAATCTAAAAATTCATTGTTCGTGTTGGTTTTCTCTACCCCTATCTGTTTTCTAACTACTACTGTTTTAGCTTGTTAAATATTTAATAGTCAGCGGGATTCAAGTTAATTGTCGTACATCATAGCAATATTTCACCCTGGGAGGTATCCACTGAATGCCATACATTTAATATTAAAAACTCCGTATACATCCCTAAGGCGATGTGTGATATCCACTTCATTCTCATGTGCATCTTGTATGCAGCTCTTCATTTTCTTCACGACATTGACACAATTCAAACGTGCTGTATGAACTTCTAACCGTCCCTACTTGTACTTACATTTTGTAGTTTCGTACACTGTAGCACGGAGACAAGTCTTCAGAAGTTATAACTTTTGACAAGTATGAAGTTCAAATAGTTTTACTGGAATATAAAAAAACCAGAACTTCTATAGTTGCAACAGTGACTTTTAAGCTTTCTGCTCTGAAGTTCCAAGTAATTTAGTGTAAATTAATGCAGAGACTAATCAACAAGTTGTTCGACTGAGGAAACATTCATTTTTACCTTCCTAAGCGCGATCATGTACAGTGTGTTGAAAGCTATCGCAGAAGTCAGATTAAGTGATATGTAGAGCTTTTTTGTATAGAATAAATGTACCGACATTTTTAAGTAGTTTTACTTGGACACAAAATTTAAAAGCGATGTAGCAATTTAATTGCACAATTTGAGTTGTTCAAAGTATATAAACTATTCTTGTTATACAGGTGTGAAATCTAAATGCGCATAGTTGTTACTGGTTTCGGTCTTTTCGGTAGTCATGAAGAGAACTCCAGTTCTTTGGCTGTTCATCAACTGAAGAAAATTTGGGATGCTAAGTACTCTGATGCTTGTATTCCTGTAGAACTTCACACAATAGAAAATGTCCCTGTTGCATATGGTGCAGTCGATGAATATATTACTTCTATTTGGAAGAAAAATCCAGTAAGTTATAGTTTTTCTATCACATTCGTTTACTTCAGTGGGAAATACAAGAAAACCTTTATTATTATGAACACTTAGTGTAAAAGATTCACAGGTATTAAAATAATTCGTACATTGCAAACTGGGAGTCTTTATTTCGGGGGATTTACTTATTTTTGTGAACTATTATTACCATGTTTGTCACTAGAATCGCTATCGTGTAACAGTGGTGACACAAAAATGGAAACTTCACATTACTTGTAAATATATTGCTAAAACTATAGTCCAACCATAAGGATATACGTTTGTTTGAATGTAATGTGTAAAAGTATCTTTTTTTCGATGTAGTTGATGGGAAATTTTCGTAATTTACATGTGACTGACCGACAACTGTACGCTTATTTTCTTTAGTTAATACGTATGCAGTAGGAAAGCTGCATCAGCTCCAACGGGCTGATCACTGACGAAATCTCAGGCAGAATACGAAAGGCTCGGTTCGCATATGCCATTATGCGCAGCCTCTAGCGTAGACGTGATATACGGCTACCGAACAAAGGGCATGTGTACTGCATGGCAGTCCGCTTTGTCCTCCTTTATGGTTGTGAGACCTGGCCATTGAAAGTGGAGGACATGAAAAGGCTAACTGTTTTTGATCATAGGTACCCGCATTCAATTTCTCGTGTGAAGTGGTATTATAGGGTGAGCAGTACTGAGGTGGTTAGGCATCAGTTGAGTGCTAGTTAACGAGGAGAAATCAGTCAATGAGGTTGTGAAGTTACAGTTATTTTAAGCGACGTAGGGAGGTGTGGACTTCCTGCTTGAGGTCCTCAGGACGGTAAACACCAATGGCTGGAAACAATCGGTGATATGACCCAATAAATCTATACTGTGCTTCGATATTACTATTCTCTGTCTACTGTCACTACTTTGCATTTATCTTTACTTTCTTTTCTTGCTTTGTGTTCTACATGGAATGTGGTGACTCTAACTGCTGCGCATTTGTGCAATGTTCTATGTTGAAATCAGTCAGTCGGTCATGCAGTAGGATTCGAAGTAGATGTGCTTCCGTCGATTTCGGAGACGTTTTTTGTGTCATAAAATAGAGTGTGTCGTAGTGGTAGTGTATTTCTTTGTGATTTATTTTATTAGGACTGATTGTTAACATCTGATTTCTTCAATTACTGTTGTATGTATAAAATCTCAAATGCTGAGTTTATCAAAGATTATAAAATACAATAATATTTGTGCAGAGTAGTTATAGTCACTTTTTTCATTTCCTTGTGCCCCGAGTGAAACACAGGTCTCAAGGCTTGAAGTTTCAGTAGCTACGCTGCCGTTTTTACGGTTTCGGGTTCCTAGTCTCACACCCAACCCTCCCTCTTTCTTAGACTTTCTTCCGACTAGTGCACTAGGCGAAGTTTAGGGGTGCATCGGACTCCGGAACACATGTGTAGATGGCGAGCATTGTACCATTGAACCACCGACACACCAAGTTACTATCACTGCTCATTTACAATACTGAAAGGTCTGTCTTGACTTATAGGCCTGGTAAGTTCGATTTTTCTCTCACTTTGTGTTATTTTATGAACATTCTTTGTGCGAAATTTGAGTCTCTTTAGATTTCCTGTACAAAAGGAGTAAACTAAGGTTATCTGTTGCAGTATTAATCTATTTTAAAGATCTTAAACTCTAACTCAAAATGTAACCAGATTCTTTCTTTATTCATGTTAACAGGATTTGGTGATTCATGTTGGCATGCATACTAATGTGACAGTACCTACTTTGGAAACTCAGTCTTATAATCATGGCTACAATAAACCAGATATTGATGGCACTTATTGTGCTAATGACGGTTGCGTTTCCACTCATGGCAAACCAGTTCTTCAGTGCGAAATGGATCTCAATAAACTATGTGAAAAGTTGATAGAGAATCATATATCCTGTTCAACTTCAAATAATCCAGGAAATTTCTTATGTGGTTACATATATTACAAGTTAGTTTACCATCTTATGATTGATGTATTTTTTTTTATTCACCACAGGTCTTTACAACTTTCAGCTGATCGTGTTGTTTTTGTGCATGTTCCGAGTCTAGACAAGATGTCTGCTGAAGATATAGCTCGATCACTTCTAGAGATAATTCGGGGACTAGCTGCACTGAAAGGAATAGTTATCCCTCAGAAATGAAAATATTTGAAGGTTTTTTTTAACTTATAGTAAATTTTTTTCAACGGACTGGTGGTATTAAAATAATCCAGTATGTTTCAGAGAAAGATATATTTCAGTAGTTAGTTAAAAGTGGAGAAAATCTGAAAAACTTTGGTAAATTGTACATATTTTTTTGGATTTCTTTTAAATTACGCTATAGAGTGATAACAAATGATCGCATCACTAAATAATTTTATCAGCTACAATTTTATCTGAAATTGCAAATAAAAATGAATTCTCATTCTTGTTGACTGTGATTATTCGCTTTCAAATACAAATTGGTTGAGCGTCTTAATTACTTATATTTAGACAAAATATTCGTCTCTTATGTTTTAAATGATACAAAAATCATATCTGAATAAGACGGTGGTCATTTTTCGTATAGAATAAGAAAAAAGACTGTTAATTATGCAGTAACTACGATGGCAAATATAAAACTTTGAAAATCAATGTTTTGTTTTAATAACTTAAACATTTTTGGCATAATATCGTTTTGTATTTACTGCTTGCAAGAATAATGCGTATATGCAAATCAAACCGTTACATTTACGATTTAAATTTTCGTAATAACGAATAATGTTGTTGTTTTTTTTGTATTGAGAAACTTTCTCATTATTTCACAAACATGTAGAGAGTAGTAAAATTCGAATAGATTAAATCGCTCAAAAGTTGGTATCTCAATCAACTATAGCAAATATTGTTGTAGGGTTGTTTTTAAACTAATTCAGATTCACGTGCTATTTTTATTGATGTAGGATTTGTGAAAGACTAAATACCACTTGGCCATTTGATCTTCAGTATGGAGTCAGAGAAGGCAGCTGCTAATAAAAGTCTGTAATTTGTTGGAAATGCTTTTCGTGACACTCCAAGTTTCTGACCTGTATAAAAGGATCGACTTGACATTTGTCCTGAAAATTCGAGTCTTGTTCTTAATATCGACTGCAGAAGACTTCCAACCTGATTTCAGATTGATAGAGGTGTATCTTACCTTTCCGGTTCTGGCCAGCCTCGACATCTTGATCCGTGCCTCCTACATGAGTGAAGGAAGTGATTTTTTTTCAAATTTCTCCCGTTGACGGTGACTGGTGCTGTTTGTTGGTTGTCTTCATCACCCCTGTCTTCTCTATGCTTATCTGGAGTGCTGTCTTCGTCTTCTAGTTCTTCTGCCAGGTTTTTGGTTTTCTCCTGCAAGTCTTCTGTATAATGGTTAGGAACTTATATTCAAAAATCGCGTGAATTCTTTAGTTTCATGAAGTGCCTGTGTTTACAATAAAATTGTAATGAGTTCAAGACAATGACTGTGTAATTACCTTTGCTTTGAACTACGCTTCTTGTGTGACGGATGCTATCACCAAATATGTACGTGTAAGGTGCGGTTAGGATCTCCGGAAAATGGAGCACTGAAATGGGTGGACTCTAACGTCAAACTGTCAATAGGAAAGTTTCTCCATAAGTGATTGAATAGTATTCATTGACATTCATAAAAGGAAATATGTATAGAACTCAGATTACACACTGCTTTACATTTAATTAGTTACTAAAATAGTTGATTTTTTTTATAACGGACTCGACATCGCAATTAGAATAGTGAAAAAAAACCGAAGTTGGTGATTGCAAACTGAATGCTCTAGTTGGGAATAGACTCCTAATTATATTGTCATCTTTTTCTCCTATTTGTTCTGCCCTTCTTTTTTGTTTTATGCTGTGACTTTCGATTTTTTACCTGTTTTATCTTCTTACTAATTTTTATTTGAACCATAAGTGTAAGTTATGTTAACTTAAACACTTAAAAAGTATTATAGACCTTACATCGATTATAGCTGTTTGCATACATATTTTTTAAGTTGCCCTGCGCTGGTGAGTGTATCAGCGCTTTTGTCGTACTCCAGAGAAACGTGTTGATGGGTTTTCTTGTTGCTTAACTGTATGTGTTGTTGATTCAAAAGAGCAAAGGTGTTAACATTCCGTCCATCATTATCATTCTACATGTGATACATGTACGTGTGACTCCATAAACACTCAATATTTACTACTGTATACGTGACACATTTCGCAAGCATCAATAATCGTCTCGTTAATTGATTAGTTTCTCAATTTTTACAAAATCTATCCATACTACTTAAGTTTACTTAGTAGGAACAGTGCAAAAAGCATATATTCATGAAGTATGTTTTTAAACATTAACATTTAATTGAAACAAATACAACAAAATGTTATCTATAATGTTTGAACATTTATTTAGTGACGTAAATGGTAAAAATACAAGATATAATAAAATACACTTTACACATAAGGGAGAATTCATATTAGAAGTATTTAACAGGCGGAATTTAACGTAAAGTAAATGATGAAGAATGATGCTGGGGAAACTTTCATTTCCATCAATTATTGCGTTAATTGTTTTAAAGGTTTTATGAGTCAGTATTGATCTATTTCTGGTCATAAAAGAGCTGAAGATGAGCGACGAGTGCGCTTATCACATACCAATTTTTGTTGGAGAGTTAAGCTTGTAGGATCATTCACCACCTACATGGATAAGTAAACATGTTTATCTTTGGATAATCGTCCACTTAATAAAAGAAAAATATATTTTAATTGTTTTTCCGTCGAATTGAGGATATTTATTGTTATTCTTCTTAAGGGTTTTTAGCTAAATAGTTGTATTGGTGTCTGATTTTTCACTTCCGGCTCAGGAATTACAATAATTGGGGGAAAAATAATCTATTCTTCTCTATCAACCAAAGGTAATATAATCACCCATAAGGTTTTATACTAAGAAAGCAGAGGTGCTAAATAACTTTCTTTATAAGAATAAAGCTTCTGTTCAAGTCATTCAAAATGAAAATGACCGGTTTTGTCTTGAGGTACCGCTAGGTAGATGGGTCATATCAAAAGTAGCTTTATTTAAATAATTAGTCTTTTAGGTGTACCATGATTGCGCTTCCATTTGTTAAAATTATAAGCCATATGATTTATGTGAATATCATAGGATAATAGTGATACAAATTTACAAAAATACCACCTTATTACGGCTTGACGTTAGCAACCATATGAATTAAATCACATTATCTGATATCTCCTCTTCCTAGTACCGTATTTTTAAACTTATTGCTTAAATAAGGAGTCAGAATGAGCTTTTACATGCCGAAACAACCCACAACTTCGAGCAGAAGTATATCAGTTCAAGTTCTTACTGTAAAAAGGCATATGAAAGAAAAGAAGAGAAATGTAGTAAAACCACGATTGAGAAAGACATAAATGAGGCAAAATAATCCAATGAAGACTTCCCTTATTTTGAAGGATGATAAGGACTGAATACATCTGTGGCATTTTCAAAGATTTCGAGCCATATTGAAAGTCTGACACCGCTTCTAGTCATCATCTGCATCCCGACTGCATGGGCTAAATAATCAACACCTACCTGTGGGAATTAGACCACGTTTTCGTGCCACAACACCTAACTCGTTTACAAACTAATCCTACTCCAGGTGTGACTGGTACTTGTTAGTTTTGACGACCGCCCTCTGTAGGCTCTTTACAACTTCATGAGTTTTTTTCTAGAGTGCCTTGATTAGCATAGTGTCCTTTTTTGACACCTTCAAAGCCAGAAATAGCTACACTATGTATCGGTCAACGAACCGAGGTGCCGACTTCAGGTCAGGAAATATAGTAGGGCCTAGACGCCAATAAGTTTGTGTTCCAGAACAGGTAACAACGTAACGGTTTCACCAATGCAAACTTATCCATGCCTGAAATGTCTTGATTTTCCGATTTTAACTTAGACACTGGGATCTTAGGTAATATTATAGTCAGGCTAATCATCTTGCCATTATCTCAGGAAGACTTGTTCTTTTTCTTATGAAGTGCGATTGTCAATGATCAGTAGTTTGATTCGACTACTGCGCATTCCCATAAACTAACTACTAGAAAGTTAATAATTCATCTTCACCTCCGAAATTAAGTGATCAGGAACTTAAATTTTGTTTTATTGCAGATTATAAGTAACTTTAGCAATCTTCACTAGAGATGAAGGACTGGTGTTTTCAACCCATCCAGGCTCTGGTTGAACGGTAAGCACCTCTAGGCTAGTTAGATCACTCCTTCGAACATTCTGCCTATCTTCTAATCGTCTCTCGTAAGAAGTCATTAGTGTTCCATCTTCTCGATAGATTGTTTCACTTATCTTAAGGTTGTACAACCCGTTTCCCTAACTAGCCTAAATGAATGACGGGTATTACCTAGAGCTTATACCTTTTCTATTTGTTTCGTAGCCATCATCCCCCATTATTTACAGTAGTTACAGAGGACTTTTTGCCAACTTATGCATCGACGGTTTCTTGACTACAGGCTTCATATTTTCGTAAAAATTCGGAAATAGGGGCTTCCGAGCGGTTCGTTTTCAACATCTAATTGGTGTCAGACACGTGCCTATCGACTAATGCAGGGTTGGAATATTTGGAGGAGCCGCAACTCACACCAAACTGTTCCATAATTGTTTTGATTACAACTGTCACCACGTGAGGTAGTATCTTCCATATTTAAAATAAGTGCTGGTTAGCAACATGGTCAGGATCCACACAAGCGTTTTGAAAGAGCGGCAGTCTTTCTTTGAACCTCTGAATCGTTGGTTCTGACCAAGATGATAAATTTGCGTCCACCAGTGGTCTAATGCCCACATTATTGAGGTTAGACAGTGTCTCTCCTTCTATATGAAGTTAGTGCTAACTAGGAAGAAATGTCTATCTCAGAGAAATTGTAAGGGGTGATATTCGTTGTCGGTCTACTGGCATGTGACTCCATAGGTACCTTTAGTATACTTTTTCAACTAGGTTAGCTGATCTAATTGAGCACTAAAATCACAAACCACCATAAATATGTCTGAGTGTTTTGGTTTCCGAAGGAAACTGAACAGTTCATCAGAACTGCTGTCAGGGGATTAGTAAGGATCTACATTTCCTGAAGTGGCTTTATTAACTGTTATGCATTTCACTGATTCATGAAGCCATATTTTGGTTTGACCACCACTATCTCTTATCCAACCTGATCTTATGTCAGCTAACATCGCCTGTCGAGGAAGGCGAGGCATGCGTAACATTTGTCCTAACCATCTCAATAGATGAACCTTCACAACCTCGTCGATCGATTTCCCCTCCTTACCTAGCACTCGACCGATGCCTAACCACCTCAATATTGATTACCCTATAATACCACTTCACACGAGAGATAGAACGCAGGTACCTATGATCAAAAACAGCTAGCTTTTTCATGTCCTCCACTTTCAGTGGCCAGGAGGATAAAGCGGACTGCTAGGCAGTACACATGCCCTTTGTTCGGTAGCCGGATATCACGTCTACGCCAGAGACGGCGAGTGCCAAGCGAGCTTTCTGTATCCGTGTTGAGATTCCGTCAGTGATCAATCCGTAGGCGTTGGCTGATGCGACTTTCCAAATAAGTGGAGTGGTCAACACGCTCTACTACTTCATTCCCCTCTATCTTCAAGCTAGGAGTTAATGTAGTCCAGTCCAGTCCTGTAGCATCATCTTAAATTTGACAGGAGCGAATTGCATACCAAATATTCGCAGATTGCAGCTGAAGACGTTCAGAAGACTCTGCATTTTGTCAGTGTCTTCACCTAGAAGGACTATATCATCTGCATATTCTCAGTCAGCGAGATTATACCCTGGTAACAAGTCAATCCCTGAGATACTTAAGTCAGTCAGGGTTAAGTCCATTAGTAAATTTTTGATGACATTAAAGAGAAATGAGGATAATGGGCATCCCTTCGAGATACCACTGGCTGTGACCACTTCAGATGACAACCCTCTATAGGCACTTACCTGGCTGCATGCGTTCGCGTAGAGTGCCTTGATGAATGTGATGTATTTTCTCATCATCTCGTTCACAGCCAAACATCACCATAGTACCTCTCAGTCGACGAAATCGAATCCTGCTCTTACGTCAAGAAATATGAGTCCGATTAGTAATGGATAAAGGTTGCGAAATAAAGCTTTCAAAAGTTCTCCTTTTCTTAAAAATCTACTATTAGCCTAAGACTGTAATCTCATCTGATAATTGTTACAGTTCAATAAAAGTGATCAGTTTCAATCAAATAATAACAACAGTTAATATATGAAGCATGATGATAAAAATTTCTTACCAGAGGTAAAGGATATTCTGGTAATGCAGCATTAATATTTTTATCTTTAGATATTTGGAGCATAATTGTGTGATCCACTGATCGACATCTTGACTTCAGTCGGTCAGCATGTCTAGAAGATGATCTGGAAGTCTAAATAGAAGTCGTAACAATTATTGACTACTATACAACAAGACATTTGAAATATTTCTCTTACTTATATCTTCATAGAAAACTTGTTAATTTACTATAGTTTGGTTTGTAAGGGTTAGTTATGTTTTTACGAGTTGATCACGGATTGATATCAGTTACAGAACCATTGTGCGTGCTGCCGATGATTCCCAAATTAGGATGAAACATCAGCTGTCCACAACTCCCTGGTTTTCAATGGTTCTCTAACTGATATCAATCCATGATTAACTCGTAAAAACTTGTTAAGATTCATAGAATTTCTGTTTTTTTTATGGAAAATTGTCTTTTATTTTGACAAATCTCAGCTTTGAGAAAACTTTTGATTTATGTTTCATTAAAGTTTTAAGATAAAAGGGCAGTTCAAAAGTAATTCTATTGCGCACTTGAAGGTGGAGAGTAGAAACAGTCTCATACATTTATGAAGTTCATGAAGACAAAGATTCACTCTTTCAAAACTAAGTGAAATAGAAAAAATGGGAGTTTAAAAAAATACTAAGTGAAATGAATTAAATAGAAAGACATCCACCCATTGTCATTAAAGTGCTTCGTTATCACGTTATTCTAAACTAATCCAACTTAACACTTAATTATGTTCGTGTTAATGATGATGATGATGATTCAATTTCTAACTGATAGTTTTCTCAAACTGTGTGTATACAGGAAAGTGGAAATCTTGATTATCACATTAGAAATCTGGATACTTAAGTAGTCATTGTGATAGGCGCATTTAGAAGAGAAATAGTGTATGTTTTTCTCATGTGATTACATCGATGAAGTGTAGGTTAAATATGTGATCACAATGAAAACGTATAGTTGTTCAATTCAGTGCGAAATTAATATGGGTTTATTAAATAGAAGAAATGCGACATAACGAAAAAAAGAATTAGTCTGTGCTATTCGGCTTGAGTATGTTCCAATCTTTTCGAATAACATTTTCCCTACCTAGATAACAAGTGAAGGTGTGAGGCTATCGTGAATGGTCGTATTTTAAGTGTAGCTAAATTCAGCAGCTAGTTTTGCTATATTACAACTCCCGGCCGATAACTGCTACCTTGTCGTGGTGGTCGGGCTTGAATACCGTAATGACCCACCATGCTAAACTGACTGTGAATCTGTCCCTGCATGTCCTGTCTGTCTGTTTTCGACATAGAACTTTGCACAAATGTGCGGAAGTTCAAGTCGCCACACCCCGTGTAGCACGCGAAGCAAGAGAAGAAAGTACAAGAAAAGCATAATAGAAACAGTGAGCAGAGGTGTGAGACAAAGGAGTAATAAAGAAGAACAAAAAAGTTTCATTGGAAATCATAAGTCACAAGGAGTGGATGCATCTGCGCCACTGAGAACGATTTTGAGCCATGTCACCAATTGTTTCCAACCATAGATTTTTACCGTCCCGAGGACCCCAGCCTGGAAGTCTACACCTTCCTACGTGGCTTAGACCAACTGTTGTGGATTTCATTGACTGATGCCAAGTTTTTGTTTGACCGCCGCTAGCTTTTTTCCAGCCTGACCCTATATCCGCTAACATTGCTCGTCGAGGGAGGCGATGGCTTGGCATACGTAACACATGTCCTAACCATCTCAGTCTTTGTAGCTTCACGACTTCGTCGATTGATTTCCCCTGTTTACCTAGAACTCTACGCCTAACCTCCATGTTGCTCACCTTATTATGCCACTTTACACGGGAAATAGAACGCAGGCACCTATGATCAAAGACAGCTAGTCTTTTCATGTCTTCCACTCTCAGTGGCCAGGTCTCACAACCATAAAGGAGGACGGAGCGGACTGATGAGCAGTACACCCGCCCTTTGGTCGATAGTCGAACATCTCGTCTACGCCAGAGTCGGCGTAAACTAACAAATGCGAAACGAGCCCCTTGTATTCGTGCTGAGATTTCGTCAGAGATCAGCCCGTTGGGGCTGATGGTACTTCCCAAATAAGTGAAGCGGTCAACGTGCTCTACCACTTCACTTCCTATTTTTAAACTAGGCGTCGATGTAGTCCAGTCCTGTAACATCATCTTGCATTTGGCGGGAGCGAATCGCATGCCAAACATTCGTAGATTGCGGCTCAAGGTGTTTAGAAGACTCTGCATTTCGTCAGCGTCTTCGCCTAGAAGGACTATATCGTCTGCATATTCCAAGTCAACGAGATTATTCCCGGTAGCAAGTCAATCCCTGAGTCGCTGAAGTCACCTAGGGTTAAGTCCATTAACACATCTATGATGAAGTTGAATAGAAAAGGAGATAATGGGCATCCTTGACGGACACCACTGGTCGTCATCAGTTCAGATGACAGCTCGCCGTAAGCCCTCACCTGGCTGTATGAGTACGAGTAGAGTGCCTTAATCAGTGCAATATATTTTCTCGGAATTCCCTTTACAGCCAAGCATCTCCAGAGAACTTCCCGATCGACAGAGTCGAATGCTGCCTTTAGGTCAAGAAATATAATGACTGTTGGACGCCGGTAGGAATGCCTATGTTCTAGAATCTGTCGGAGGGTGAAGATATGATCAATACACCCTCTTCCTGGTCTAAAGCCTGCCTGGCTCTCTCGTGTTTGTGCTTCCCGAGCACCACTCAGTCTACGCATGATTATTGAGCCTAAGACTTTAGATACTATATTAGTCAAGCTAATCCCTCTGTGATTATCACAGGAAGACTTGTCTCCCTTCTTGTATATGGGGATAATCAGTGACTTACACCAACCCGATGGGACTTCTTCTGATTCCCAGACGCTGCCTAGTACCTCAGTTAATCCAGACAGTAAGCTGTCTCCACCGTACTTAAATACCTCTGGAGTCATTCCATCAGGTCCCGCTGCTTTGCCTAGTTTCAGATTGGTGACAGCTTTAGTAACCTCAGTTAGTGACGGAGGACCTGTGTCTATATCCCATTCAGGGAGGTGTTGGATGCTCGGAAGGTTGAGCGTGGCTGTGGGCAAATTAAACTGCTCCTCATAATGCTCTTTCCAACGATCCAGTCGTCTATCCTGGGAGCTAATTATAGTGCCATTTTTTTCCGAGATTGTCTCACTGATGATTTGTCTTCTCCCACCCGTTTCCCTGATGAGTCTAAAGAGTTGCCTGGTGTTGCCTATCCTCGAAGCTTTCTCCATCTCTTTGGCTTTTGTCGCCCACCACTGTTCACGGTCCTTGCGGAGACTTTTCGTAAGTTTCCTCTTGTGCAGCTTTCGCTCCTCATTGAATTCGGAGCTCGCCGGAATAAGTCTTCTAGCATCTATCAGTTCGGATGAGGCGGTGGAGATCCAGTGGTTTTTACTCACCTTTGGGTTTACCTTATTCACAGCTTTTACAGCTGTATCTATGGCTGCCTGGATATTTTTCCAAGCTTCTTCAGGGTGAGCACAGCTGTCGAACACAGATATGTGTTTAGCTAGTTCTTCCTCAAATACGGATTTAGTTTCCTGATCGAGCTGGGGACGTGATGGTTTTACCGCCAGCTGTTTCCTACGTCCGTTCAGTCGTAAGCACACCCGAGCGCGGACCAGTGCATGGTCGGTATCTACGCACGTGTTCCAGAAGGAGCGACAATCTCCTACCGACCCACGCCAACGATAGCTTATTGCTATGTGGTCTATTTGTGTCCAGCGTTGGTTTGATGAAGGGGGTCTCCAAGTCAAACAGTGTCTCTCCTTGTGTTTGAAGTTAGTGCTTACAAGAAACAAATGATTATCAGAGCAGAACTGTAGGAGACGGTCACCGTTGTCGGTTCGCTGGCACGGACTCCATAGGTGCCACCGACATCCTTCTCAGATTGACACAATTTCCCTACTTGAGCGTTAAAGTCACCAGCTAGAACGACTATGTCTGAGCGTTTAGCCTTTCGCACCAAACTAGACAGCTTTTGGTAGAACTCATCCTTCGTTTCATCTGAACTGCAGTCAGTGGGGGCGTAGGCGGAGATTACGAAAAGGCATCGGCGAGTAGTGCAGTCCTTCCTCCTTCTTACTGATCCGTTCAGGCGGACAGCACACATTCGGCTATCTACCGGGATCCAGTCAAGCAATGTCTTTTCTGCCCTAGTACTCAAAGCTATCCCTACGCCAGCTAATCCTCGTGAACTAGCTGTGGCATCTCCTGACACCCTCAAGGTGAATTTTGCAGATTCAACCTGTTGGCCAGGTGGGGTTAGGTGAATAACCACACTTGGGTCTTGTATGCGTGTTTCTGAAACACAGCATACATCAATGGCTCGTGATGCCAGGGTCTTGGCTAGTGATGCTTGTTGTCCTATTTGGCAAAGTGTCCTAACATTAAGAGCTCCTATATGAAATTGGTGGCGCGGCTTTAAGAGGCTGTCGGTGGTGGTTTTTTGGCTTCCATCGTTTTTAGTGGACGCAGAGTGGAGAGGAAGTGGAGAGCTATCAAGTCGAGGAGTTGCATCAGTGGAAGGAAGGCAAGATGATAGAGATGAAGATGAAGACAAAGATGAGTGAGTAATAGAGAGGTTTCGTGTGCATTTCGGATTGTGAGGGCGATTGTTACTTCCCGGCTGCCCACACCGTGGAAGTTGGTTGCGTGACCGCAGAGCCCAGGGGACAACTGCTTGAGGCCGGTCACACGCGGCCTGTTTTTGTTTGTTCTTTTTGTTTTGTGTGCCTCAGTAGCATATTTATCACTCCTGCCCTGTGACACGGCAGCAGGAAGCGCGGTCGTTGTTAATCCGGGCCACGGCCGATCCGGCATGAAATTTTGTGATTTTGTATTGGACATGATGTTGGATTGGGTAGCTGCTTTTTGTTTAACCGCTATCCAAACAACCTGCCTGGCATGGTAGGACCTCAAGAGACATAAGTCTCAGCCAGTATAGCTTGAATAGATCATTGCGGTGTTCAAGCCCGACCACCACGTCAAGGTAGCAGCTTTTGGTCGGGCCCTGCAGGTCCTACCATGTCAGGAAGGTTGTTTGGATAGCGGTTAAACTAAAAGCAGTTACTATGGGGCACATAGGCTCCAGTATCCAATCGGATCAAATGGCGTATGAACCCATATGGGTCACCGGCAACCATGGGAATGCAGCTCCTAACGCTGCTCCGCTGCCTTGCGGATTAGACTCCAAGTCAAAGGCTCGGAGGGTGGTCCCTTAATAAAACCACGTGCTTCGGTCTGGGCGCCCGGGAAGTATCTCAATGAATTGAATAAAGCAACCAACAATCAATGAAACTTATCGCGTGCTATTACACGTGTTGCAATTTCCTCCTTACTTCCCTTCCCGATGATAGTTAACGAATACTGTTTGAGCTTGTTAAACATGTCTGTTTTCCTTCCAGATCAAGTTCTTTATCCGTTCCCTACTTATATATATTTTTTCTCTTTTTTCTTTTGATCTACTTTGTTTTATTATTATTGTGTGACGCATCCTTCTTGGTGCCATATTGTACTAAGTTTTTGTGCGGTTAAATAAATAATATTACAGCTATAGAGTTATACGCGAAAATGCTAAATATCTGAAAAAATTTAACTGATTCTAATATAAATTACGCTTACTTTACGCTGATAAACGATAGGATTTTGTAATGTTGATCCATTATTCAGCTGTTGTACACACGCTGGTTCACTATTCAATTTATCATGGTTGTTAATATCTATTGATTGAAATGATGCCGGAGTTTTTGTGTTTCTACTACTTGTTTTTTTGATTTTTCGTTTTGTAGCCAAAGAAATTTGACCATTTTGTGGGCCATTATACGATTTATTAAGTTTATCAAAATTTGGAATTTTTTCATAGTCGTATGCATAACATTCATTTAGTGAATTACTTGTATTGGCTTTAGCCTGCTCTTGTTCTTGTAATTCATCTTTAGGATATGTGTATTCTGAACAATTAGAATCATCTTTATTTTGATCAAATGGTAGACTGCTACTAGATGGTAAGGATAAATTTTTCATTGACGTTGAAGTTGTATTTAAAATTTTATGAAACCATGTTAATAGATTATTGAGGGATTCTGTTGATGAATATTTAGGGACTATTGAATGATCTTCTATATTGACTGGAGATATTCTGGATGAATTTTCACATACTGATGCAGGCAGTACGCAATTCGGAGCTTTAATGGAAACAAAACCAACAGTGGTATAATATAATATAGATTATTCTTTTTCGACAGTTACTAAGTAAAATTGCAATATCACTTAATAGGGTTTAGGTAATCTGTAAGTAATGAAGTTTTAAGTCAGCTTAGAAAGGTGTCTTCAAGCACAACGTTTATGTAATAAAGCTCATATTATTTATGCATTACAAATTACTGATGTTACAGGATTTCATCATGAGTTGACATTGGTTAGAAAACCATTGGAAAACCTGGGAGTACTGGACAGCTGTGTCGTCCTAGTTCGGGACTCTTCAGCAGTACGCACCCACACCCAGGACCTTCCGGTTACAAGGCGAGCTCGTAGACCATTGAGCCACTGGGACACGATCCAGTGACCAGTCCCTGAATTCTGACTTCTGCCAATTCACGACATAGCGCAACTGCTAGCCAGTGAGCATCGATGAGATAAGCGATAATAAATGTAGTCTACATAGAGGCAACGACTAAAGAAAAACACGTTTCTTTACATGATTGGAGACACTTGGCAAAATGTGATGAACATAGATATGACCGGCTTGCTGGCATTCGTCAGCAAGGCGTATATGCAACCTCGAAGGTACTGACTAGTCCACATGACTCAATGCTGCAGTCAGAAACGTCACCAATGAGGAGCTATTCGGGCTGCACATAAACCCCAGAAGTTTGACATTTGTTACTCTGTAGTGACTAATCAGTATGTGATTAAGTTTTTATGAAAGTAAATGATGTGGCTGATACTTATTTAGCAAGAACTGAACAATAATACTGTATAATTACTGCATAATCCATGTGATTTCGTTAATGATACCAAAGTAAAGCCTTCTTGATTTCTAATGAAGGTAGTCTGTTGAAATTTCAAGTTATGCCGACCCAAATATACACCTACCAGTTTACTTTAAGCGTGATTTATATATCGGTTCTGTCATGTTTTCAATCATTTAAACATCTTAATTTATAATGAGACGATACGAGAAGGGAAAAAAGAGTTTTATGTTAGAAGTATCCTGGCTGCTCACATTATACAAAAGATTTCCTTTGTTAATTCACTTAACAGGTACTCATAGTTGGTATACTCACGTATCAGTAGGTGTGTATTATTTAAAAATAGATACCTGTAGTGAGTAATACAGAGGAACTGTGATAATTTAAGGGATATCAGAAAAGGCATTGAGAAGGGTACACTCTGAGCAGAATCTCAAAAGCAACAGACAATGACAGAGAAAGCATGCAAATCTCATAATCAATATTATGTTTATGATTTCCTTTTAGTAAACTGTACTTTGTTTACATATACAACAGATCTGCTGTTGCCACAAGTTTTGATCCCATCACAAGTCTGTATATCTAAGATTTGTGACTACATAATATGCAGTTGAACAATTCAATTCTATAGAGTTTCATATTCTTTTATGACTAGTAAATCATATTTACTAGTGAGATGAGAAGTATTACCAACATGATATTTAATAAAGGTTATTTTCATTGATCGTCAAAATCACAAAGTTGTTTTTGTTATCGGAATAATACCTATTGATGTTGCCGATTGTATGTAAAGATGTTATTTTTTTTTAATATTTTGGTGGGACGTAATGTTTTTTATTTTCTGCCTCAACCAACTGCTGAGAAGACTGTTTTCAATCATCTATTACTTTGTGACTATTTCGTGTCTGCTGAGTTCAAAGGCTTTTATGACTGATATCTTGTTTCTAAGTGTCAGTTTAGTGTCTATAATTACATTATACAGAAATTGATTGTAGTGAAAATGTGCGTAATAGTAGACGTATTCGTTCTTTGTGTCATGTACTATGCAAATAAAAAAAAGAGTTTATAGTAATTGACGCTTTTATTTAATGAAGATGATGTGATCAGTCGTATTAAGGGCAGGCGATGGAGAAACGAACAATCTATTTGGTAAAGGAGAACTTTCAAAGACATCACTCGTGCTCATTCCTATCGTTTAAATAAACCCTTTAATTATTTTGGAAAAAGTCATTAGGATCATTGATGAATCAGGTTGATTATATTAACCCTTATAACAGGTGATGTCTTCTTTGCCTAAATCATTGATTTGATTAAAAATTGACGGTTTAAAAGTATTTGTCCTTAACAAAGACAAAGTCACGTTTGACGGAATGTTGGTCCTAGTGACATATGATGACTGCACACTATCCGTCTTAATCTAGCTTGTAATTTTACCCGGTGTTTGTACGACACAATTGTTATCCAAGAGCTGTGAAATACTTGTCAGTTTGTGAAAGGGTTTCTGAATACTTTGTTTCATACTTTATTTAAAAGACATACATCCTAAGTATAGTCCAAGCTCAATGAAGGTGCTTTGAAAAGCTTAAAAAAAGTAACTTAACAAATAGTTATTTCGACATTAAATGTACCTCGTTTTATTAAAACAAGAAGCCTAGTAATAGAATATTAGAACTACATGCAGTAGAACCAAATCATATTCACATATTTTTTAATTGAATTTGAGATTTTCCCATCGACTGATTGGACCGAAGTGCTCGGTCGCAGGTTGACATGTCGGCTTCTTGTGCAGATGCTACGATGATGTCTGGGCATTTAATTAGTATTTAATTGGTGGATGGTGACTAGCAGTGGAATCCAGGACGCGCATTTCGTCCTATTTGGGACTCATCAGCCTGATGTACCTGCATTTCTCAGTGAGTGATAATGTTCCCACCGAGGCTCGAACCCAGTGCCCATAGTTTCAAACGCCAAAGCGTTATCCACTGGACCACTTGAGCCACCTCTTGTGCAACGGGTCATATTAATTTTAATTGAATTTGAGATTTCCCCGTCGGCCTATTTGGGACGAAATGAGCATCCTGGATTCCACTGCTAGTCACCATTCACCAATTAAATACTAATTCATATTCACATATCATTATGTTTTACTCTTGCCTAGGTAATTTTCCCTCGATTAAATTAGAAAGATTTGGTTTATTTAGTAACAAAGCATACACATCTTTCAGCAGTTTGAAGCAAAAAAAAGAAACAAAGCTTCCAAATACTCATTTTGTGTCACAGAATATTCAGGGACATAACGCTTCATCCAAAGATAAGAATTCGTCAATATATTCTAAAGAATTCAGCTCAATTGAACAAATGACCAACAACTACTGATTATTATTTTTTTAATATTTTATTATTAAGTTGGAACTTATTAAAAAGACGGTTGCAGCGAAGAAAATTTTCTTTTCGACGTAATCACTTACTAGGCTTTACATCCGTGTATTTATAACAAATTGTGTGAGGAAGTTCTAGAATTATTTCCGGTCAATGATTAAATTAATAAAATTACAAAGTGTAATAATCAGGAAGATCGGGTACAAAAGACAAAATCGTAATTAGTGGAAAACTTGTCAATTCGCATAATCACCGATTAAGGACGTAGTATTAACAAAATAGGTAAGAAGTTCGGACATGTAAAAGTATAAAAAGCAGCATCTAATTCTAGTAATGCAGATCGGAATTTAGACGTAAAAATAACGCAAACAAACAGGAAGGCTGGACAATAAAGGTAATAAGATGATCATTATTAGTGGGACTGACTTTTCATGATGGCCATGTTAAGGATAAAGATTGGACGTATTTCTTTTGAACGCATAGAGTGGGCCTGAGTTTTTGGATCGCCAGTGACTCAGCTATTCCTAGATGCCTTGATTTCACTCCTTATGATGGGTCTGATCGGATCTTGTATAAGACATTGAAGAACTTTTCAAATGGAGCTGAATGTTCTGAATTCACCGGATGTTCTGTCACTGAACTTTTTACACCATTGCGTTCTCCTTTTGCTAACCAGTACAGCTTTTATCGAATGGAACTCATATTTAGTATTTCCGATTAACTTGGATAAGTCAAGAAGTGAATAATTTCCCAGAACATGGTGTTATTGTATGTCATATTTTTGATCAGACGCATATAATATAGAAGTTATGTTTATTTATGCGTGACAAGGAAAAGCTGCATAATACTAGAGAAGTGGTTCAACACTGAAATGACGGCAATTTTTATTCTTATATTGTCTCCTAATAGTACAGTAGATACCTTTCTAGTGCATAATATGAATGACAAGTTATTGTCATACTTAGTGCGTAGGCTTGCCCGAAAATTAGGGTTTATTCAGAGAAAATCGGTAGTTTGATATGCTAAAAGTCTTTTAAGAACTAGATGAGATGAGATGGATATGCTAGTTCAATGATAATAAGCGTTCTGCTTGAAGAAACAAGTATCCGTTTCAGTGGTTTTAAGTGAACTGAAACAAATGCTGTTGTCTATGAACAGTCGTACAGAAAAATCGGTGGGATGAATATAGATTCACTCCAATAGTCTTTCTCAGCTAATGTCTTTATGGCTATTCTTCAATAACGCCAAATGAAATCATAAGCTTAGAAAATTGGTTATCATTGAAAAAGATTTCCAACAGGTTGCAGAATTTCATCAACGGCTGCCTTCGCTCCATACTAAAGATCAAATGGCTAGAAAGAATAAGCAACAAGAAAATATGCGAGCAAACCAACGAGGAGCCGATCACCCAACAAACATGTAGGAGAAAGTGGAGATGGGTCGGACATGCATTGAGGCGGCCGCCGAATGACGTTGCACGCCAGTCTCTCGAATGGAATTCAATGGGAAGTGCCGAGTGGGTGGTCCAAAGGTGAAATGGAAGAGACCGTGTAACGTAGAGGTTAGAGAGTTTGGTCAATCGTTGACCCAGCTGAAGAGGACGGCAGAAAAGAGAACAAAGTAGAGATGTGTTGTTGAAGCCCTATGTTGCACTCGGAACTCAAGGGAATAATAATAAGATAAAAATGTAAGTACTCTGTAACCTGTAGCGATATGAATAATAGCTTATCAAGGAAACGGAGTGTTTTCGAAGAATGTCTTCATTGCATAGTTGATCAGAATAATGGAAATAGTAGTGACATCGGCTATAGTACAGAAATCATTAAAAACTAAGTAGATCTACAACATTTCACATCAGCAGAGTATAGCAAACAGAGGAAATTTATAATCGGTGGAGCTAATCTTAGAAAGTAAGGGCGATTGAATGTAGATTAGGAAGACTGTACATTTTCTATCTTCGTCAGTTTGATTAAGATATGCTGATGAATAACAATGACAAAAGAAACAGGACAAGGAAACTAATTTTGTTCCTACTATCAGCTGAGAACAAATACCACTACTTCATAATTCGCTTTAGTAAGCATACTTAATATGCACTACAATGAAACACGGAACAGCGGTCACTTACAAAGGAACATGCCTCTCTTTAACGTTTTTTATTCCTTTACGTTCCCAATGGAGCATAGGACTTCAGCCTAGAGCTTCGAAGTTGCGGTGGCAGTTGTGTTTATTCATATGAGTTGGGGTTGCCAGATACTCATGTCCAACCTTCCTTCTTTACCAGTCGCATTACTGGCTTGGCAAGGTAAAGGGGTGAGTCGGCCGGGGATAGAACCCCAAATCACCTGCGTAGTCGGTGAGGATTCTATCGCTGTACCACCGACTCTTTAATAATATGTGCATACATTCATCTGAATATTTATTAATTCTGTGTTTTTAATATTGTTTCAAACAAAACATCACATGAAAATCTCAGTAAAAAAAGCCAATTACCATAAGTCTATTTTCATTGGATGAATTATTATTACAGAAGACTTATTTCGTTGTAAAGGTTTTAAGACTCTATATTATTATTACCTAGGTAAACTATGAAATTTTAATCTATATGACAAGAACCAGTCAGCTGACTTCCTCATAAAACAAATTATTACAGCATAACAAAGATACCAGTTAGTGAATAATTTATCAACAGAATTTGTTGTTTTTTTTAAACAACAATTCAAAATGAAATTAGAAATAGTATTGTATTAGTAACTGATTTAGTCGTAAAATGAATGTTACTTGAAAAAAGAAAAACGGTCTATGATAAAGCAAATATATATGAAGATATTCTAGACTTTATTTTAACTACTCTTATTGTTCTACATAAAAATGATGTATGTGATTAGAATGTGTTTAAACGTGTGTTTTTGAAAATATATTTGAAGACATAAACAAACTGTCAGCAGATTTACTCAAGATAATCACAAGGTCTAAGCAATTTGAAAAAGGACAGGCAATAAATATAACAGAAAGCGGAAATGCGAAATCAACATCACGCAAATATCAACTACAGGAACTGAAATGGAGAGGTCTAAGCAGTCAGTACCTGGATGGATCGATTTAAGATTTGTGTGTAGCTGCATTGTCTCAGCTGCAACAGACATTACATAAAGACTAAAATTGTTGACTACAGAAAAATTATCTGAGTTATTTAAATGTGACATAACTGTCAATACAACCTGGAATGGAATTGTACGAATCTCTTCAGCTAGCGAACTTTCCACCTAGTAGATTTGGAAGCCTACTGTTCTAATCACTATTGACAACAACAACTACCACCATACGATATCACCGATAAGCGGTTCAGGAAAAAGGAGAGAGGACAGGTATTTAACAAGAGACATTTTACTGTATCTAGGCAACAGTGAAAAGGCTTATCAGCAATTTCGTATATTTAGGTTTTAAATGATCTTGAGGGACACTAAATTCATTGATAAGTTGAAACAGTTAACAACCAATAGGGTTTAATCGTCATAAGGGGGAGTAAGGTTCATACAAGACAGAATTCGCTAATCAATACCTGAAGCAAGAAAAATGAAGAGAGCGAAGAGCACAGTAAGGAGAAAAGGACGAAAATTTGATTTTAAAGATTTGATTTGCTTCTCAAGTTTGACCGCGGATTGATATCAGTTAGATAACCATTGAAGACCACAGAGTACTGAACAGCTGTGTCAACTTAGTTTGGGACTCATCGACAGTACGTACCCAACGGGTACAAATTCGATGTTCAGTGTTTGTGATATTATATCAGTTGTGCGTTTAATCTGTACACTTCAAACTCTTGTGTTTAACAACATTCGTAATGTGATTCAGCAAATAGTAAATGAGATCTATGCCTATGCATCATAGTTTTGTGGTGAGAACTGGCTGCTAGCCAAAGTTGGTGGACAGTAATTTACGTCAATGTTTATGTCTCCAATATTGGTCGTGGGAAAAATGAGAACAAAGGCTTTGCCTAGGCGGATGCAGTTAACATACAGATGATCTGAGATTCAAGAAAAAGTCACAAAGAGATGAAAGATTAACTTTCAGTGAGTAACAACCAATCAGAAGACTGTTTTTCTGCTAACAATAATTTATAATATGTACATGAAAATCTATAAATAAGTGTTGATCTCTTTAATAGACGATCTGTTGCCTGGCCCTTATCTTCTGTTGTTACATTTGGTGTTGTTGTCTACCGACAAATGGAAAGCCTATGCCCTGCAGTTTTCGATGGAGACAATATGGATCTTCGGGGTGGACTTCGAGCCATGTGTTCGGGGTGACATCAATCAATATAGACCCTATAATTAGTCTTTCTTATCATTTTTTCATATTATGTATTGTAAACAGTTATTATTATATTATTACTGTTCTCTTGGGTTCCGAGTGGAACATAGGGCTTCAAAAACACATCTTCACTTTTCTCTATTTTGTACTCTTCTTTTCAACTGGGTCCACGATTGTCAATAGTCTCTTATCTCCTCCTCGCACGATCCCCTCTTAATGTCACCCTTGGACGACCCACTCTTCGTTTCCCATCCTGGTTCCACTAGAGAGATGATCTGGCGCACGATGTCAGTCTACGGTCTCTTCGGCATATACTCAATGCATCTCCATTTTCTTCTACACATTTGCTGAGTAGTCGGCTCTTGGTTGGCTTGTTGCTAGAGTTTCGTGTTGCTAATTCTTTCTAGCTGGCCATTTGATCTTCATTATTGAGTAAAGGCAGCTTTTGATAAAAGTCTGAAGCTGACTATTGGAAATGCTTTTCACGCCATGTTTCTGACCCATATAGAAGAACTGACTGACTTCACATTTGTGTTGAATAGAATCCGAATCTTGTTCATTATACTGAGTGTATTGTAACCAACTATCGAATTATAATTATAGTCAATTGATCTGTCTCATAATGCACAAACTTTTCACAGATATTATTAGTAAAACTGTACTTACATTTTATTAGATCGATGGGCGTATAAGGCAGAATACCAGCTAGGTGAAGAGACATATTTATATTTTTCTCATATTGTTCTTTCAATGCATGTCGATGAGCATCTTCACTTATCTCTAGTTCTTCCAGTCTTTTTCTCATTCTAGACAACTAGAAACAATTAGAAAAACAACTTTTGAATATGAAATTTGAAACTTACCAGAATATAGAATTTATTGAGCAGAAAACTACCTTCAACTCGACCGTACAAACAGTATAAAAATCATTAAAAAATAAAGTAATCTGCAGCAATACAAATTAGTGAAGCGTAGAAAACAGCTGAAGCTGCATTACTCTACTGGATACTTATTAATAGTCATTTATATGTTGTAAGGCCCAAAATTTATATAATAGGGAAAAGCAGCTGGCCAGAGAAGCTCTGTCTTTAGTGACCTCCATTTGCACACAACGATTGCTGCCAGGATGTAAATAAGGATTAGTTTTATTAACAACGAAGAGACATCAAGCAAGCACTTTCGGAAGATAATATAGTTCTTTTGAGAACTTGATTACACAAGTTTTCCCAAGAAGACAGTGGCTTAGGTGCTTCATAGGGTCCGAATAGAGAGGTCGATCTTCATAGCTTTGTGCAGATGACAACCTATATCCAAAACAGCATAATCTTCCTGTGTAGTCAGCGGCATAGTGATAGCTATTTTACTCCTTCTGCCACTCAAACCTACACTCAGATAGATTAAACTGTTATCAGCTACCGATGGTATGCAACCGCTCCTTCAGCAGTACAAGCTTCAGTTCCGATAATGCTGTAATGCATTATCGGTTTCGCCTGAAAGTCAGTGGTGAACATAAACATCGTCTGCCTTAAGTGATTTAGACAAGAGTATTATTTGGAATTGTCCTTTGGAGAAAACAGTTCTTAAGGAGTTTGTCAACGATCTGGAAACGCAAGACAAAAACACTTATCTTATGATAGATTGAGAGCTTACAAACACTAATTACCATTCTCCTTAGACAAATTCATGATTTCTCCTTAGTTTTAATATTGACCACACATTCAAGTGATATCTGTAAGAATGGTGTGAAATTTTAGGCTGTAGATTTGGTACTCAGAGAAAGATCTTTGGTCTTTAGTATGCATACGATACCATTTTACTATTTGACAGCGTACAGACTACCCAAACCAAATTTAATCAATCGGTTGTCAGTATGAGTAAGTATATTAGATGCTTTCACTATCCAAAGGTAAAGTTTTGTTGAGAGATTTGCTGGAGCTTTTATTTTCGCTCATCCTTACAGGTGAACTGTCGGATTCAGCTGAAAAGTTTATCTGCCTCGGTAGTTGTTTAGGTGTAACTCACGAAATTCCCACTTGTTTGTTGACAACCAGAGCGGTATTTATCATCTATAACTCCATTCAATAAGCGATATCATAGTGAGACACCGTTCTCCGTGGTCTGGATACGTTTTACAAGTGTCGTCTCACTGGCTTCTATAATATTCATAGTTTTCTTGGAGTGAGTCTGGTTGAAAAATGTGAAGAAGTGATGAGTGCATGAACTAGCATTTAATAGTACGTCATAACTCACTTTATGGAGCTGACGGGGGGGGGAATAACAAGAGGTTTACAAATAAATCTCATAATTGAAATCAGGGGTATTCACTCAGTAGTTTTCATCCTACTTCTTCTCTCAGATGTAATACACCTTTAGAAACCGTATACCTGTTTTGCTTTCTCATCCTGACATATATATTTTTCTTTATACTGTTTTACTATTTTGTGTGACACTTTTCACGGTGACTATGATGTACGTACCACTTTCGTATTTACGAAAACATAACATAAAAGCCAATCTCATAATATTTATTCGCAAAAAGTTTATGACCGACCCAACGAAGTCACCTTGTTATACCAAGTGTTTTTTTTCTGTGCAAACCAAAATCCAAGCTGATGATTTTACCTATGCTCCTATGTCGATTAGCCTTATTTTGTAATGCACATATCTTTATCTGCGAATAGCCAACCATACAAATTGTAGAATACAATTGAAGTTGAAGTGATTATTGCTGTGTTGTTCTATATTTTCCTTATAAGCTAAAAAAAACACTCGTTAGGGAAATCTAATTTTTATGAGCTCAATAAACACAAAAAAGATTGTTTATGAAAATATGTTTCAATAAATGCGATATTGAAAGGAGTTTATTATTTTGTGTATTTTATTTATGCTAATCAAAATGATTAGTTCAAGTGTACTGTCTGGAGTTGTAAAAAGCATTCGAATCATGAATTCACTCTTATACTAGGGATAAGAGAAGTAAAATAGTTGAGGGAAGACATCATGAAAACAAGTCAGCATGCATATCAACAGCATACAAAGAAGGATTCAGTACTTTGTATTACTTTCAGAAAGAGATAAAGCAAGAAACTTGTGCATTCTTGTCAGTTGTTCTTGTTGTTAGATATGAAGTCTCGAGTTATTGTCTTACAGACTTCCTTATCACACTCAAGAAGTAGTGGTGCAGCATTCATAGCAGATAAACAATTAACATTCATTCCAAGATTTGTAAAAAGTGAGTGGTTCCGAAGCCTTTGAGATGTCATTCGTACCAGAGGTCCAAGCCACCGAAACACTACTGTCCTAAGATGACATCACTTGTTGAAAGACTATCACCGTATTTAAACACACTGTGTCAGAATTCAGAATCAGCCAAGCGATGATATCAACAGAAAATTCTACCGAAACAACAATGACCTAACAGACATAGTTGCTATATATGTCAACATCTCGAAAAGGCCAGGTTTCCCGGGAGTACAGCAAGACTACATGCACAAAAACAGTCGTAAGTCCATGTGAAATCGCATTAGCGCTAAAGTTGACTAAGACTGGTATATACAGCCTCAGCTTTCAAGGTACAATTAGAAATCCCATCCGTCAGGACGTTACTCATGGCATCTCGGAAATTTGTCTGAAATTTCTGCAAGAGGTTTGGCTTGACTTGAGTTCAGCTTAGATTGATATTTAATGTTGAAGACCTGTGCAGAAACAGGTGATATTTCAAGGGAAAACTTTCTCAATTTCTGAGTCCGAGGTTGATCTACAAGATCGCAGAGCAGCATCGGAAACTGTGTCTCCACGCATGAAGATTTGCACACGGTTTACTTGACAGAGGCTATAAGTGGGTGACTGCATGAAAGCATTCGGATATGAATACCGAAATCCCATCCACAGCTATCCGTGGCAGGCTACGCAGAGCGATAAAATAATTTTATCACTAATAATTCAAGGAAAGTGGGAAACTCATACGCATTTCCTTTGATCATAGTCAAAGCAAGAAATTCATAAGACGATAAAGAAGAAATTAAAGTAATGATTAGAATGCTTCTACAGTGGAAGTGAACATGGACTCATCAGAACCCACATCAAACAGTGTTTAAAAATCCACATATCAGCCTACCCATAGTAACAGTTATGACACTTAATACACAAATATGCAGTATATTTTCTGCGAATACTATTTTTGTTTTGACGCAATGGTTTTAACTAGACTGATTTTGGATCACTTTTGGATGCCTTGATGTATATAATTGTGTAATCTTCTTCTTGTATGATTCTGCATAATATGTTGCAATACATTTGAGAAAATTCTTTGAATTTCCCTCGAAACTTATTATGAATAAATTATTTCTTTCCTTGTCAACTTAATGTTTATGCCATCAGACTGAACTGCTTGTTGTCTCATTAAACTACGGTCTTTATGCTTAGTCTTCGCACACTAGAAACAAAAAAATGTATGTTCTCATTTCCGGTTGAAAAAATGACTGGAAATAAAATGCGCACATTCAATACTGCAAGTTTTACTCTTCTTAATTTAACTCAAAGTGAAAAGTTGAAGCTTCAAACGGATGTTTTGTTATAGTCACAAATTCGCTTTTCTTAGTGCGCCAGTTCATACTGATCAGACATCAGTCCAGAACAGTTAATTACCTAAATGTGTTTCTATGTAATAGATGTACGTGTTTTCAATTTTGAGGGCATTATTTGACTTATAATCTTTGTGCTGAAATAAATAAATGTGACTAAGTAAGAGGTGTCAAAATCTCTCACAGAAAATATTCACATTTAAATAATAATTTTAAATTAAATTCGCTTTTACAAGTTTGCCCACGGATTGACACCAGTTAAAGAACCATTGAAAACCAGAAATTACTGGACAGCTGTTTTATCCTAGTTTGTGATTCACCGGTGATACGCACCCACCGGGTTACTAACACAGGACCTTTCGGTTACAAGGCAAGATCGTAGACCATTCAGACACTGGGACTCGATTCAATGATCCATGAATTCTTACTTCTACCAGTTGGGGATTTTAGCGTTACAACCAGCCAATGTCATCGGTGGCGAGCAGTTTTCCTCATTGTTCACAGGATGGACCCCGATGGTTACGACTTTTCATGGCGGTCATGATGTCAACAACAGCACCGAAGGCCCTGATACAATGGGAGGCGATCTCGCCCGGGATAATGACCGCCAGATACAACTCAGAAGTAGAGAGAGTGACAATTATACACTGCTATGCACCCAAAAACAATGCAGACCTCGAATAGGAAGAAGAGTTCTACAGAAAACTACAGACAACAATGGACAAGACTCAAGTCAGTGACATTAAAATCCTAATGGGAGATATGAACGCCAAGCTGGGACCAGATAACACAGGGAGACAACTCATCACGGATAGAGAAGCTGTTGGAGAAATGAATGCAAATGGAGAAGTCTTCGCTGACTTCTGCTCCTTCAATGAACTGGAGGATCACGAAACAAAGGATTTCTTCACTACAGTCACTAGGAAATATGCGGAGACACAGATCAACACCAGTGAAGAGATCAGCGTTGGAAATCGCTGGAACAACCTGAAAGTGTTTGGAGTCAAACCTGCATGGAAGTTCTAACCAGAAAGAAGAGGCAGGACAAACAGTGGCTCACTACAGACACATGGAGACTAATGCAAGAGAGAAGGATGGCGAAACAAAAGATCATCCAGTGCATCGACAAGAAACAAAAACAGGAGTTGAATGCAAGCTACAACTCACTGAACAAAAGATTAAAGAAGAGTGCCAGGGAAGATGAAAGATAATATTACGAGGCTATGGCAAGTTAATCAGATGTAGCTGCATGCAAAAGTGACCTCACAACACTCTAACAAACATCTAGGTTCTTATCGGGGAAGAGATCAACACAAATTAAGCGAGTGGAGGATGAAAATGGAAAGTCAATCGTCAAATAGGTGTATCAAATAAAACACTGGGCTGAACACTTCGAAAGACTTCTAAATCGACCGCCACCTGCAACGCGCCCGGCAATGCCAACAGCGGAAACAGAAGTATCAGTGGACATCAAGTCTTCAACGAGAGAGGAAGTCCTGAAGGCCATCGAGATGCTAAAGACTGGAAAAACAGCAGGACCAAACATAATCCCAGCAGTAGCATTGAAAATGGACTCCGAGACATCAGTTGACTTGGTGACAGCACTATTGGAGAAGGTGTGGAAAAAAGCTACCTATTCAAACTCCCAAAGAAAGGGGACCTAGGTCAATGCGAGAATTGACCTGGCACTATCCTCCTGTCTATCCCAAGCAAAATATTAGGCTGCATCATCCTGGAGAGAATCAAACAAGCCCTGAATGAAATATTTCGACCGGAACAGGCTGGATTCAGGAGAAACAACTCATGCATCGATCAAATCGCAACACTACGTATCATCACTGAACAGAGCTTGGAATGATTGTCAGCTTTCAACCTCAACTTCATCGACCTTGTAAAGGCCTTCGACAACGTCGATCGAGAAGTGACTTGGCAACTACTTCCCTACTACAAGGTGCCTCCAACAATTATACACCTCATCCAACAGTTGTACGATGATACTGCATCCCAAGTGGTTCACAAGTGGATACTCACGGAATCCACGGAAATGAAGACAGGAATAAAACAAGGCCGGCTGTCTACTATCTCCAATGATTTTCTTGATTGTGGTAGACTGAATGGTGCAGCAGACAGCGGGCAACAAGAAGACAGGCATAAATTCGACCCACAAGAAAACTTGAATCTGGATTCCGTTGACGATGTATGTCTAATTTCCCACAAAGTGGAAAATATGCAAATGAAAAGCAACAAGTTGGCAGAAGAAGCATCCAGGGAAAATAAGCCTTCAGATGAACATAGAGAAAACAGAGGTGATGAAGATTCCTAGTCAACAGCGATAGCAGCAGGAACAACAGACAGCAATAAGCATAATTGGAGAAATCTGAAAGAAGCTGCCTCCTCTACTACCTGGGGAGCATCATTCCAACTACAGGCGGAACTGATGAGGATATCAAAGGGTGGATCGGGAAAGCAAGGCAAGCTTTCATTACTCTCAAGTCTGTGTGGAGATCGACAGCACTCAGCATGAAAAATAAGATCTGGATTTTCAACTCCAATGTGAAGTCGGTGCTACTATACGGATTAGAGGATTGGAGCCGCGTCGCGAACGGTACTTCAAACAAACTGCAGACCTTGGTGAATGGCTGTCTTCGCTCAGTGCTCAAGATCAGATGGTCAGAAAAGATCAGCAACAGGAATCTCTTGGAGCGAACCAACCAGGAACCAATTGTGCAACAAATATGCAGGAAGAAATGGAGGTGGATCGGCCATACTCTGAGAAAGCCATCCAGTGACATCACACACCAGGCTCTCGAGTGAAACCTGAATGGGAAGCGTCGAGTTAGTCGTCAGTGAGAGGGTGACATGTAGGTAGTATGAAGAGTAGATGAAATCATGTGGGCAAACGTGGAGTCAGGTGAACATGCTGGCAGAGAGCCGAACGCAAAGGAGACGTGTGTCTGAAGCCCTATGTTCTTCTAGGAATTAAAGGAAACAATAATAATAATCTATGGCGGAAATACTAACGGACATAACAGCGACCATTTCGAGCCATATTTAAGACTTATTCTTCAAACAAGCCGTCCTTATCTTTTCTCATACTTTCAAGTAATATCCCATTTTATAAATAAATGACAAAATGTTACGAAATTACAAAGGAAAACCATATAAACTTCATACCTCGGATCTACACCGTATAAGCTGTCGCTGGATACCAATAGCGGTTCGCGCACATGTGCAGGGTACTTCAGATTTTTTCTCACACATACATTTCAAGGAGATAGGGATTTCTTTAATACAAGGATTTCGGTAAGGAGATGAAATAAGGTCACACTGGCTGTCTTTCTCAGTGTAAGACGATTTGCGTAGTTTTCGACATCGATTAACTTCCACTTTCTCTGATCCAGATGAACGTAGGCGGCTGAAAAATGATGGAAATCTGTACTGAGGGACTGGAGCGCTTTTCATGGTTGGTTTTATTATTCTGTAAACTTGTTTTACACTATCGTATGGCTTGAGCTGATTCTCCAGTGAATACAGTGCCGTTTCCGATGTAAGAGGAGCTTCTTGATCTGTTAATTTTTGTAGAAAGTTTTCGTTCAGATAAATTTCAGTGACCATATCTGACCTTGTATTGTCAAATGATTCTTTAGTTGGTCTGTCACATGAGGATGTGCAGCTTAGATCCATGTTTTTTCTTAAAAGATCTACGATAATGCAATTAGAATCTTAATAAGAACAAATTCAAATAGTAGAATATGACTGAAAATTCATATTGAATCACCTCAATAAATGATACCTAGTTTTACTAGGAGTCAAGTATGGAAAAATAAAGTTTAATTTTTTTCGGTGTGTAATTTGTCAGTGTGTCCTCATTAGTGATAACCTCACCAATGATTACTGACATATTCCAAGATATCCCAAATTTCTCATTAAAACTTTACTATTCTGAATGAAAATGACTAGTTAAGTCCATGGAAGTTTTGTACACAGCGGGATAGAATATTTTCTTTTGAATAAATGAGGAATTCACATTGTAGGTTTTGTCAGGGACTTTATTCAATTTCAGTTCAAGAAACATTGGAAACCGAAGAGCACTGGACAGTGTCGCTAGACCGCTAGTTGATAGCAGTTAAAATTCACTGGTCAGTGAATTTCAGTACTGCGGTCAAATCATGAACGCGCTTTCTTTGTAACCCAAAAGTCACTAATTAGATCGATGATTGTGGTCGTTGAAGAGTCCCAAATCAGGGCGAAACAGTTGTCTAGTGTTCATAGATTCCAATGGTTCTTTAACTAGCTCTGATTACTGAAGAAATCTTTGGTGAAATAAGAAACATACATAAATCGGAGTGCTGACATTTTAGATTCAGATAAATTATTGTTTAAATTCAATGTCTTTTTAAATACAAAATATGCTATCTGTTCACCTCTGCAAATAAGAATTAATATTATGGTTTAAGTGTTGTTCATGTCATGACAGAATTCGAGTGCTGAAGTTGAATAATTTATTGTGAAGGTTCACTGAATGGTGACTAGCAGTGGAATATAGGATGCGCATTTCATCCTATTCGGGACCCATCATCCCGATCTACATGCATTCAACTTAAAGCATTAGATATAGTGGAAGCATCCGTACATGGAGGTGACATGTCAACAGGGGGCAAACACTTCAGTCCAATCAAATTGCAAACTGAATTAAATATTGTGAAGGTTTTTCAGTTTAATCCAACTATTTTCGGAAAATTAAAGGAAGATTATTCCACAAGCCCAGAGTAGTTTTCTTTTATTTTTTACTAACGAAACTAAATTTTATTTAAACACATTATTTGCTAAATGTTTGGAGGTGGTGTTTGGCAGGAGGCCCTGGACCGAGGTTTTGTGTTTGTTGGCACCCGTCAACAACCGTGAAGAAACTCATATCCCCTATGGGATTCCAACTGAGCTGTTTTCTCTTGCTCTACCATAAGGATGAAAAATAATTCTTACAATATTTAAGAACGTATTCCAGTAATTAAACTATTTATTTTCCAATAAAGGAATGAAAACAAAAGTAACCTTAGTGTGCTTTTTTTACTACATAGTTTGACATCAACAACTTTTACTACAACCCATTTTATATAGAAGCTTATTACCCAGTTTAACGTAAATTTTTTATATTGCATAAGCTCTTCATATTTTGATGTGGTTGTGTTCTCTGAGCTGGAAAGTTGATTTGCGAAGCCTTCATCACCCTACTAGGTGAGATCTTCAGCGCATACTTCAATTTGAAGTGAGCTTTTAGATTTCTCCACGAGTGTATCAATCATCTCTCCTGCTGACCTTGGACGTGATTGATTGTTTTTGTGTGTATTCACGACTTCTAGGTTACTTATATTGGAACTGATTGTTTCTTTGACTTGAAATTTGATCCCTTGTGTGTGAGGTTTTTTTCTTATCGGTTGATAAATTTTGTCTATCTCGATGTGTCTATTAATTGATGATTCACTGGAATGTCAAGCTTCTAAAAATCCTCCAGCATCCTTGTTGTTTCCTCTGTCAAATATTCGAACGCTGGTTGTCCCAGTCGAATTGATGTCCGTGGTTTTCTGTAAGTAGTGATATGAGCGAGAGAGTGGATGTCATGTCTTCTGATGGCTAGCTTATGATAGTGGATACGAAGACGAAGGGGACGTCCACTTTGGCCAATGTAGTGTTTTTCGCAGTTGTTACAATTTATTTTGTAGATGATATTGGTTTTATCTTCTTTCGTTGTTGAGTCTTTTGGTTGACATATGTCAACCACGAACATAAGCTAGCCATCAAAAGACATGATATCCGCTCCCTCATATCACTACACACAGACAACCACGGACATCAATTCGACTGGAACAACCAGCGTTCAAATATTAGACAGAGGAAACAACAAGGATGCTAGAGAATTTTTAGAAGCTTGACATTCCAGTGAATCATCAATTAATAGACACATCGAGATAGACAAAATTTATCAACCGATAAGAAAGAAACCTCACACACAAGGGATCAAATTTCAAGTCAAAGAAACAATCAGTTCCAATACAAGTAACCTAGAAGTCGTGAATACACACAAAAACAATCAATCACGTCCAAGGTCAGCAGGAGAGATGATTGATACACTCGTGGAGAAATCTAAAAGCTCACTTCAAATTGAAGTATGCGCTGAAGATCTCACCTAGTAGGGTGATAAAGGCTTCGCAAATCAACTTTCCAGCTCAGAGAACACAACCAAATCAAAATCATCCACCTGAATTACAAATCTTCTCTATCGCATCTAAACTGTTAATACTACCACTAGTACCACTAGCTGCTATATTATCACGCTATACAGGTTGCCGGCATACCAACCAAGTCAAAAAAAGCACTGGAGTACATAACAATTAAACAAATTTCTCTTTTTTATACATACGAATGTTCTCTTCTAATAGTTGTTTGGTTTTCAGTTGTAAATTTTCTAGCTGTCTAACGAGATTTTCATTTTCCATTTGCAGCCTACAAGTAAAATAAAATGCATTTTTTTTCAGTTATATATTTTCCTCAACGAAATAAAGAATTTTTTGTTTTTTAAAAACATTTTCGTTAAAATGAAACTATTATTTTTCTGAATTGTATCTGATCAGTTGTCAGGATGGAATCGGTGTAAAGAAAATCAGACTATTTCATGTATGCGGAAGGAAATACACTTGATTTATTCGTGTAGGCTACCAGTTCAATGTTTTTATTCATCGAACAGGATTAGTATGTGTGTTAATAATCAGTATAGATAAAATTAAAGCAGTGGAGTAAAAAAACTCAGTATCTTTGTTCATCAGAGGCTTGTTGGTTGAAAACTGTTACGCATAACAATTGTACCGTGGCTTTGTTGTTTTTTTAGACATCTAGGTTCTGAGTAGGGACATAGGGCTTCAGCAGCACGTCACCATTTGACTGTAGCATCATGTAGTTGTAAAATTTCTTTTTTTTTTTGAGTTGAATCTTACCGTCATTATCCTGAAGGAGAGTGAACCCCAGTGCATGAGAGCCTTCGTTGCTCTAGGTGACATAATGATAGCTACTCCTTCAGAGGGCTCATAATTGTTGTCTGGGGTAACGGAGGTAGATCACTGACTTTTCAGTTAATAATTCAGAGAATTTATATCAATTCTATCTACTGTCACAGATTTTTAGCACTTCTGCGCCGTATCTTCCCGTTTCTTTTACAATCTGAGAAGCAGCTTTGAACATTATGTGGACATTACACGTTCTCATGCTTAGTTTTGGTATCATCGAAACAATACACACCTGGTGACTGGCTTTCCGAATGTATCCATCAGTACGTGTTACTTTATCTCTCCGATTACAGTGAAGAATGTATACATATATATATATATATTCTGTGCTTTGAAATTCCTACACAGATTAGATTGATTTTCGGCAACAGAGTTGCTAACCCCATACCATGCCCTCCCTTTTTTACCAGACATAGGACAGGCTGTTAAACTAGTGAACTAGTAAAGATGGTACTCCGGCTTTAAAGAGAGATAAAAGTTGAGGAATGCATAGTGGTTTGTCTGATATATATATATATATATATATTTACGCCATATAAAGTGTTGCATTGTGTATGTCGCCTTTAGACAATGGAAATACTTTATTGACAAAGCTCAAATTACTTTTATTTACTTCATTATCTCCTTATTTATTTTTACGAGTTGATCACGGATCGATATCAGTTAGAGAACCATTGAAAACCAGGGAGCACTAGACAGATATTGCATCCTAGTTTGTGAATCATCGGCAGTACGCGCCCACTGAAGTTCGAACCCAGGACATTCCGGTTACAAGGCAAGCCCGTATACCATTCAGCCTCTGTGATACGATTCAATAGATCATGAATTCCGACTTCTACCTTCCTCATTTATTATTATTCACTGGAACTCATTTAGAAGAAGCATATCCGAAAAATCTATATGTGTTAAAAAAAACTTAAAACTCGTGTGTAGAAATTAAAATTAAAAACTTAATGGAATGACTATCTCCCACACATACACACGCACATGCACACTACTCACTGTTGGATTTTCGCTTCAGATGATTGATGCTGTGACAGCAATTCACCCTTGCTTAATTCAAGCTCTATTTTCAGTCTTTCATTATCCTAAAATAAAAACAATCATGGATTAAGCATGAAATCGTTTACAAGGAAAAAAAGATTAGACATATCATCCCTTCTTGATAGCATGCGAAAATCAAAAATCATTATTTTAGATTTTGGGTATAATGCTTCAGTTGTTGCGCAATCTAATATTCTTCTATGAAAAATTTTCGTAGTAAAGAATGTTTTATGCTGAAATTCCGTTTGAATAGAAATTCCGCTAAATATATTGTAAGATATTTTTAATTGTCATAATGACACAGGTTGGTGTTTGGTTATTCTGATACTTCAACACTGAGACTCATATTTATAACAATAAAAACCAATAAAATAACTATGCTGAATAGGACTATTATCATTGGGGGTTTTTCTTCAGCTGTCTTCAAGGCGATAGAATTCATCCACTAAAATACCTATCATAAAAAGAACCGATAAATTTAAGGATGTGTAATGAAATTCAGCATCCGGATTTTCAACTACAATGTGAAGTCAGTCATTGCTACTCACTATACGGATCAGAGACTTGGCCAGTGCGTCATAAAGAGCATCTCAAACAAACTACAGACATTCATTAACAGTTGTCTTTGCTCAATACTATTCAAGATCAGATGGCCGGCTAGAAAAGATCAGAAACAGGGATCTCTGGTAATGAGCGAACCAACACTGCAGGAACCGATTGTGAAACAAATGGGCAGGAAGAAATTGAGACGGATTGGATTGGCCATACTCTGAGGAACCAAACCATCAAGTGACATCACTAGATAAGCCATTACTCGAATGGAACCCGAAAGGGAAGTGGCGAGTTGGTCGTCAGAGTGAGGGTGACTTCGAGTAGGTCATGTGAAGAGGAGATGAAAGCATGTGGGCAGACTTGGAGCGGGGTGAAAAAGTTGGCAGAAAACCGAACGCAATGGAGACGCGCAGCTGAAGCCCTATGTTCCTCTAGGAATTAAAGGATATAATAATAATCATAATAATGAAATTCTATTACTTGGTTAATGAAATTGAGCCCAAAGCTTGGATGTGTACCAGTGATAGATCTCAAAGTAATAAACGACAGCTTTTGGGCTAATTCGTTTGACAGTGACTAACGGTGTAATCCAGGATGCGCGTATCATCTTATTTGGCATACGTCTTCTCTATGTACCTGCATTCCAAGTGAGTTATTCTATTCTCACTGAGAATCGAACCCTGCATCCATTGTTTCAAATGCCAAGGCATTACTCACCAAGGCCACGAGAGTCATATCTTGTGGAACGGACATCAGTTATCATTCGTTTTTAGGTCAATTTTTGCGTTTCCCTTTGGCTGGTGATTATGTTCAGTCTTTGCTGATATGCAAAATGACCTAAAAGGTTCTAAGTTCTCTTTGAATTTTGGCAACGAGAGGCTTTTTAATGATTTATATAATTTAGTTGTCCTTTAAATAGTTCATAGGGACAAAGTTATTGTCAATTTAGAAATCGATTCACATACTGTAAGAGAATGAAACTACAACCACTTACACTAATTGAATATATGTTGGTAAACACTCTTATGAAGTGTAATTATTTGTTGTGCAGGTATTTAAATATATATTTAAATTGTTATTTAATTTTCTTGTTAACAACAGCAACAACATTGAAATACAACAGCTTACTAAGCAACATCTTCTGAGCATATTTCAATTTGAAATGTGCTTAGTATGTCAATGAAAGCCTCGCAAGTATACCATCCAGCTCAGAGAACACGACTACATCGAAATCATTCACCTGAGTTAAAAATCTTCTCCAGTATATCCAAAGTTATAATTATATATGATAACTGATATCTATGGAGAATCAATGTAGTTGACTAATAAGTCGATGATGTCATTGGATTATACATTCTCACTCTAAAAACTGCTAGTTCAAAGGTGTACACTACTTGCGTATAGTAAATACTTTTCAGATACCAATTTTTGTTGAGTTATTGTCAGGAAAACAGTAAGGGGTGAGAACTGTAGGGGTGGGGTGGGGGGGGGGAGAGAGCATACATGGTGAAACAGAGTGAGTAAGTAACTAAAGTGAAACGAGCATAAGTTGGTAGTCGGTATACGTCTCAACATTTTAAGCATGGAGTTTTGTCCGTTATTATGCTCATTATATGCACTCTATCTCGCAAATATACGGAGAGTCAATCTTCCTTCATAGGGTTAGTCTTACAAACGGGAATATAGATGGATTTCAATAAATTGTGGTGAAGACCTGTTTAACTACTGATTACGAAAAAGTCTTTTCTCTGGAGTTTCATACACATGTGAATACGTATGTGTTTCAGCACAGAACTTTGCACAGATGGTCAGCAGTTAGAGTTGCCACACTCCATGTAGCATACGAAGCAAGAGAAGAGAGTAAAGAGAGATAATAAACAGAAGTATGAGGCAAAAACAATAGTAATATGTAAGAACAACAGGGTTTTATTGGATATGATGAATCAAAAAGAGTGAATGCATCTGAGCCATTGAGAACGATTTTGAGCCATATCACCGATTTACTCCAGGCATCGCGAGGACCCCGATCAGACATTAGTCTACAGCTCCCTACGTTGCTTGAAGTGCTAAATGACATCGATTTCATTGGCTGATGAAGTCATTTTTTGGTTTTATCACCACTAGCTCTTTTCCAACCTTATTTAATGTCAGCTAACATCTCCTGTCGAGGGAGACGACTGCTATGCAAACGATAAAGATCGGTACAGTATGAAATAAATACATAGAAGTATGCATCTATCCGCTTCAATCTGTTTGAGTGAAATTAAATATTTATTTAAGTATTTCAAGTAAAATCAATTTGCCATGGCTTCCAGAAACGCATAAGTATCAATACCGAAGCAACATGAATATAGAGATATACACCAGTGTCTTCGAATAAGGTGACTCCAAATATTTTGTGGATGAGAAGTTTCAAGCATTAAAATGGGTGCAATCCAGGGTTATTTTTTCGAAGTCGGGGATATATATGAATACAAAAATTGTGAGTACCTGACTGCCGATCCGAACCTTTTGGATTCAATTTTGATAACACTAAAAAATCCTAACACCATGTTCAGAAAAGTTGAATCATTTTACAGGACTTATTAGTTGTTTAGTGCTGTCTAACAACCAATTTAAGTTGATACAACATGGTTATTTTGGGGTAAGGTGGATACTCCAATGAATTATCGGATAAATAGACTACACTCAGTCATATCGGACGAAGTGTAATTTACAAATGTGCCTTTAGTGAAGAATTACTTTTTAATGTCAACCGCAAGTACACTGTAAAGGAGGTAAAGCATTGCTGCTTTACAACTTGAAATTCACAGTTATAAAATATGTGGTTATATGAACCGTGGTGGTGGCTTTGAAATAAAGCTTGTATTACATTTTATCCACCTATGTCAAAATAATAATGTTAGATTTATCGCTTAAACTTCTGTTTGATAAAATGACTTTGTGTATCGATTAAGCAAACTTTACATCAGTTTCCTTACCGTAGTTAGTAGTCGCAATCACATACATGTTATCATGCTCTATCAAAAATATATTTTGCAAACAAGATAACTAAATCTATCAATCGATAAAAAATAAAATTGACAGCATTTAAACGAACCTAAATCGAAGATCAAATATTAGTTATGTTTACTTTTAAAAATTTATTCCAAAGTCAAGATTATTTTATCGCTTAACTCTCCTCAAATGCTTTTATTGTTGCAATGAATTGATGTTTGCAAAAAAAAGAAGAAAATCCATTCCCAACTTGAGAAAGAATATTCTTTCTTCACTAATCAGCGTTTTATTCCATAAATTGGATTTTCGAACAGTGCAAGTTCGTATTTAAACTTCTAGTATCACATTATACTCAGTGTAATGATGAGAAACAGTCATCAATAAATACGAACACAATATTTAAAAAAAGTACTAATAATAAACACTCTAACATACTTTACCTTTTTTAGTTCAACATTTGAAGCGTAGACAGCATTTAGCAATTCATTGCTTTTTCCAGATGACTGAGAATCCTAAATGAGATTTTGAAAATCACGATAAAATGAAATTCGTTTAGAGTAAGTTAAGCAATTGTTATGATAAAAATGGATGAAATCCTTAAATTCGTTTTATTGGTATCTTTCGTGTTAATTTAAAATTGGTATACTTTAGTCTTTCAACAACGAAATATATCGCCAAAAGGATGGTATAGCTCTGGGCTCACCACTAGGGCCATTGCTTGCAGATTTCTTCATGGCGAAACTCGAAAACACATATTCCTGAAGAAAATGATCGATACCTTCGAAATCTATATGAGATACGTTAACGACACTTTCATTATCATTAACAATGAAGAAAATCTAGACGACACCCTGAAGTCCTCTAACAACTGCCACCCCGCGATTCAGTTCACGTTGGAGAAAGAGTCCAACTCCAAAATATCCTTTCTTGAGGTCCAACTAATAAGATGAGAACAGGATGGAACACTGAAAAGATCTATCTACAGAAAGTCGACGTTGAACGGACAGCTTACTAACTTTTACAGTTGGGTTCTCCTATACACCAAACGAAACCTGATCCGTTCACTCAGCTACAGAGTTCGCAGAATTTGAACCCCGGACAGAATAGAAGATGAACTGGACAATCTCAAGAGAATCCTCGTCGAGAATTGTTATCCAGAAATATTTATTGCGAAATCTATGAATCATGGACCACAAAAGCCGCCCATGCTTAGCGTCCCGGAAAAACTACTCTACATGAACCTTCAATTCATTGGCGATGTATCTGTGGAAACACTAAAAAATCGACCGTCGCGATCACTTAAGAAAACCTTCTTCCCAGCTGAACTACGACTAACCTTCTCCACAAAACCTATGATTCATGTGAACGTGAAGGATAAGCTACCACTGCCGGCCGCATCAATGTGTATTTATCAATTCACCTGCTCGTGTGGAGCCACCAGGTATGTCGGCCGTATCCAGAGTTCGCTTTCCAAACGTATCACTGAACACCTACCAACATGGTTTTACAAAGTAGAAAAACGATGTCCCCGCAGCTGCATCTTAGAACATCTGACAGAATCCGGATATCAGGGTAAACCCCAAACAAACCTGAAAGTCGTCTACAGAGTAAGAAGTAGTCTTCCTAAAGGTAAACGAATCAGACTTCTTCAAACTGCAGCAGCAATGGCGATTCACACTTGCTAAGCCCTCAATTCTGCATACATAATAAGCTCGTTCAATCACTTCACTTGCAATTGACTTAATCTCTCCTATTACCCGACAAGCAAATTCTACCTAATATTTTTTTGTCTGAGTCTTCATTAGTATTACTGTGTCTTCTCAATTGTAATATCTTACATTTTCAACTTTCTTGTTCTCTACCTCCACCCGATTTAATTTCTACACCTCACTACCACTGTTACTAACTTGACCAACGCTCAATTTCTAGTCATTTATGCTACGTCATCCAACTTATTTGCTCAGTATCAGTTCTAATTTAAATGGCACTATTCTCTACTCCACTTCTACTTAGTCTCTACCTGTAATTACCTCTGTTGCTAGCCTGACCTAAGTTGAAACATTTTAGTCAACTATATTACGTCATCTAATTTACTAACTTAATCTTACTTTAGTCGCTGTCTGATTAACCTTGTTTCTATATTAGATCATTCTTTTATTAACTGATCAGTTATTTAAACTTGAAAAACCTCATATACACACAAATAATTGTATATAAATCCTATTGTACAGCTATGTGAATGAATTCGCCGAAAACAGTCTCTTCGCTGAACGTCTTCTCTTTTGCAATAAACGGCAATAAATTCATTCTGACAATATATTCAACACTCAGTGAAAACTACGAATTATGATGAATCAAAAAGGACCATCAAACAGTATATCAGAAGGACAGATAAAAAACCTTGCATCCTGCTTGTTCAACATATTTCGAGAAATTTATGCCTGAATAGAATCAGATATTGACGAAGTACAATTATCAGACATCTCGTAGACACGGGAACTTTTGCAGAATTCTCCAAATCTTTAGAAATACTGAATGTTAAAATGCTGTCATATTTACTACATCTTGCCAAATTGATTGCAGACAGACGTTTTCAAACAAATTTACGCTTACAGAAAAAGAGTGTGATCAGTTCCTCACTGCCTTGATGACTGCATTTTGATTTATATTGCATAATCACACTGGTACTAGTGCTTTGAGCTTACTCAGACAACTTTAATCGTGTGATCTAAAAAACTTTTTGAGTTGTTACGTAACCTCACGGACTAACAGTGTTTTCTACTTCTTTTTATATTCCTTCACGTTCCCATTGGAACATAGGGCTTCACACTAGACACTTGAAGTTTTTGTAGCAGCGTATATTTATACAGAATGGGGTTACTGGTCTCATGCCCAACCTTTCCACTCTGCCAGCTTTTTTATTACTGGCTTAGCGAGATAAAGGAGTCCGTTGGCCGAGGATCGAACACCACAACACGTGTATGATCAGCGAACGTCCCAACCGCTGTGCCACCGATGCACTTCCTACTTCTTTTAGTTTCTGTTTTCATCTGACTCGCATTTTCTTTTCGCTCTGAACTACATATGAATTAATGACAACCTGAACTTGAAATTGTGACGATGCTGATATTTTGGGTGCCTTAGGTTTTAACATTTTCTCTGCTATCATTTCATATTGAAAGTATGTTGTTTTTATTCTTAAATAACCCTTGTAATTTTAGGTAGTCTGAAGCTGATAAGAACCTGTGAAATTAGATGACATCATTATACGCTGAAAATTCACTCTTTCTTGCTTTATCGATATTTAACAAGTGAACCACATGTATGAAATTGTGGAAAAAGCTAAACATTTTATTCACATTAATTAGTGGTAGAAGCAAGTGTATTTTTATTCTGTAATGAAATTCTGTAACGTTCAAGTTGCGCAACAGTAAGTTTAATTAACTACAAAAGGTTAGTTAAACAATGTTTATGAAAAAAAAGAAACACTTTAAATACTGAGTAGTTAAAAACTTTACATGAGTATTTATTAGGTGTTCATTGAGTCTTGATCAGCCCACAGTGTAAACAGACTTTAATTTTGAAGATATCATAAAGTGGACTTCAAATATGCATCGTGAGTCTGAAGAATCTATTAATCGATTTTTTTAGTATACTGAAAATTATTAGTGTTTTTATTCATTCGGACTAAAATGGTATTATTGTTCCACTCTCAGACGGTATCCATATTCTGTTTTCGTCACCAGTAAGCTATTTTTTTGTTAAAAACTATAAAAAATAACACTGAAGACCTATTCTGAAATATTTCCAACTAAGCCCGATTATTGATAATAAATCCTCAATGGAACAATTATTTCCCAAGTTTCAACAAACATTAAGAATTCATTGTTGCATCAGTTTATTTGATATAAAATTCCATTTCACAGAGCTACTGACAGCTGTATAACTTCCATGATGGTCGTGGATTTTTCAGTTCAGTTATTTATTTGTCTTTGCTCCATTCTCTCTATTTAATTGATTTAGTGGATCAAGTAAATTCGATATTGGTACCCACCAGTTAGTTATCGCAGAAATCACTGCAAGACTCTTCAAACCTTTAGGAATTGGCGTCGCACACAAACCTACAAAATCACTTCAGTCAGTTTTATGTCAACCAAAAGACTCAACAACGAAAGAAGATAAAACCAATATCATCTACAAAATAAATTGTAACAACTGCGAAAAACACTACATTGGCCAAAGTGGACGTCCCCTTCGTCTTCGTATCCACTATCATAAGCTAGCCATCAGAAGACATGACATCCACTCTCTCGCTCATATCACTACTTACAGAAAACCACGGACATCAATTCGACTGGGACAACCAGCGTTCGAATATTTGACAGAGGAAACAACAAGGATGCTGGAGGATTTTTAGAAGCTTGACATTCCAGTGAATCATCAATTAATAGACACATCGAGATAGACAAAATTTATCAACCGATAAGAAAAAAACCTCACACACAAGGGATCAAATTTCAAGTCAAAGAAACAATCAGTTCCAATATAAGTAACCTAGAAGTCGTGAATACACACAAAAACAATCAATCACGTCCAAGGTCAGCAGGAGAGATGATTGATAAACTCGTGGAGAAATCGTGAAGATGTCGCCTGGGAGGGCGATGAAGGCTTCGCAAATCAACTTTCTAACTCAGAGAACACAACCACATCAAAAAAGTTAGCTATATACTGTAAACCAATTGCTACTGAACAGTTAATGAGCCTTACTCTGAAATGTTTTGATAATGGGCACTTAAGTGAATGACGAGGATGAGAGCTGCTCATGGGGTTTTCTTTTCTCAACTGTATTATCTACCATGTAATCCCTAAAAAGGAGTTGTAACTGATTAATTTTGTAAGTCGACACTCAACACATAATTTTCAAGTCTGAGCTTCTTTCTGGGTAATAAGTGTAAGCAAGTCACTGGTTGATGGATAAAACTCTGCATATTTGCTTAGTCTTATGTTACTTTTATGCGTAAGCTACACAATATTCACACTAAAATGAAGTGTGGAACACGCAAAGGGTTGTTTATTTCATACTCACACAATATGACAAATAGTATTTTGCTACATGAGCATATATATGTGTATATTTTATTTTAAATATAAGTAATTTTAACTGGAAAACCAGCTACAATTTAAACCCTAAGTAATAAAAATTACCAACCCTTGATTATACTAAGTAAATGCATTCGGTAATACTATACAGTATTTTAATGATATTTCATCTTATTGTTGCCACCAACAGAGTATTTATGCAATACTGTTCTTAAAAAACCCTTCATTTCATAATGTGATTACGCATACAAAGATATATGAATGTGCATATTTCTGGTCTTTAATTATTTCTATTTTTGGATTATTGTCTGTCTGGATTCAACATAGAACTTGGCACCGAAGTGCAGCAGTTCGAGTTGCCACGTTCCAAATAGCACACAGAGGTAGACAAGAAGATGAGTGGAGAGAATTA